TGCTGGGCCCGCCTCCCTCTCCCCTCCTGCCCCCAAAGCTGATTCATCTGTCTCCTGGTTCCTTGCTCTGAGCACTACTTCTTTGGTTATTTGGGACAGGAATAGACACAGTGGGTTTTCTTGTTACTGAGGATAATATCTATGATTGGACTTTTGCAGGGGATGCCTCTGGCCCTGCAGCTGTGACAATTTGGAGCTAAGTATCCACATAAGAGTCCCTAAAGGCCTTTGGATACCGAGTGTGACAATTGTCTATGTAAAAATCTCTTGTTGCCCGTGAACCTGAACACACTAAGTCCAAAAACACAATAGCTCTCAGGCCCCTAACCTACCAACTTTTGACACTCGGTACTAGTCCTTGCTTTTGCAATCTCATAGACTGCAGTTAACGTTCATAGGGTGATAAACAAAACAAAACTGAACTGGACTGCTGTAGCCCAGCCCTGTGCTGTCCAATATGATACCTACTAGTCACATGGGCTACTTAAATCTAAATTAAATAAAATTTTAGTATTCAGTTCCTCTGTTGCAGATGCTAGCTGCTTTTCAGATACTCAGTAGCCACTTGGGGCTAGTGGCCACCATATTGCACAATGCACACAGAACATTTCCACCTGTATGGCAGCCCCATGTTATGCTGACAGAATATGCTGAGGTATCAACTTAGGTGGAAGAAAGGTTTATTTTGGCTCATGGCTTCAGAGGTCTCAGTCCATGGTCACTCAGCAACATTGCTTTGGACCTGTGGCATCATAGGACATCATGGTGGGAGCATGTGTAGAAGAGGACTGTTCACCTCATAGTAGCCAGGAGGCAGAGAGAGACAGGAAAGGACTGAGGTCCCTTCAAGGCACACCCCCAGTGAGCTAACTTCCTCTTACGAGGTTCCACCTCTGAAATTGTGCACCACCTTCTAGTAGTGCCATAGGCTGGCAACCAAATGCAGCTTAAAACACAGCTTCATAGGCAATATTATTCAGCTTTTAAAAGGCATAAAATTCTAACACTGGCTACCATGTGAATGGATCTATAAGACATTATGCTAAGTGAAATTATCCAGTCACAAGAGGACAAATATTGTATGATTCCACTTACAAGAATTATCTAGAATAATCAAATTCATGGAGACATAAAGTAGAATGGAGGTAGCAGAGGAGCTGAAATGAGGTACTGTCATTTAATAGATACAGAGTTGTGTCTTAGATGGTGGAGAAGCACTTGAGGCAGATGGTGGTGCTATTTGCACAGCAGTGTGGATGTGCTTAATGCCACTGACCTGTACCCTTAAATATGATTGGAATGATACATTTTATCTTGTAATATTTAACACAATTTTTTACAGCCTCTTAAACTATTAAAAGATATCCCCAAGTTAATTTTCAAAATAACATATTTGGAGAGAAAGCAGGGAGGGGAGATTTCTTTGAAATGTGTCCCCAAAGAGTTTGCATACAGCATTCATTGACACAGCCCCCTGCAAAGCATAGTCCCCTATTCATAGCCCTGCTGGCCCCATGACAGGTGTCTGGCCAAGGACATACCTGGCATGAGGAAGCACCAGCATCTCACCCCAGGGCTACTGATCCCCACGGGTGATATCTGTAGTTAGACTGCAGCATGTAAACCCAGATATGTTGCCTGAAATAAATAAATAGCACTGACAGACCTTCCAGCTCCCTGGGCCATACTTGCTTGGGTGGAAGCAAGTCAGAACAAAGGATGGGAGGGTGACTGCCTAAGCCAAGCAATGATGACTGGAACTGCGGTGCTGGGTGGGGACTTACTGGCTGATGTGAGCATCTAGATAGGGACTTGAAAGGAACCCAAGAAAGTGAAGTAGTCTTGTTAGTGTGGGTGGATGGTTTTGTGCGGTGTGAACGTGTGTCTGTGTGTGTGTGTGTGAGTGATACTTGGACTGAACCAAGGCCTTCACACTGAGCCATGACCTTAGCCTTCTTTATTTTTTATTTTGAGATAGAGCCTTGCTAAGTCACTAAGTCGCCCAGGCTGGCCTTGAACTTGGTGGTCCCTTTGCCTCAGCCCTCCAGAGTGTGAGGGTTATATGCATACACCACTATGCTCACCACCGGTGTTTTCTTTTTTAAAAAAAAGTTTCCTTCGGTGGTATTTCAACACTGTCTTAAAAACAAAATTGGGAAGGGAAAAGGCAGATAGTGTTAGACAAAACCTATAAATCTCTGAAACACTCTGCAGCTGAGCCTGATTAATTGCTTTTGAAAAGAAAGCTTTCTGTTTACGTGTGCACAGAATATTAAACTTAGCTCATCTCGGGCTGATTTTTCATGTTCTCATGACACTCTTAAGCCACCTAAAGAGTGATCATAGGGGAGAAGAATTGGATTTAGACAAAGATGCTTGGCTGACTACCACTTCTTTGCTATGTGATTTTCTGGCAAGTTCTCTGCCCTCTCTGCTGCAATTACTCATCTATAACTTGGAGAGTATAGCATTTCTTTCACAGTGTTGCTGTCATACTATATACAATGTCAGTAGTGCTTACTAATTATTATTTTATACTAGTAATGTGAATATTATTCGTCACATTGCCTAGCAACCATCTCCTCAAACTGCTTCCCAAAAAGTTCTCTCTGTTGTAGTCATTGGTTTGGACCAATTTTTTTAAATTAATAAACTGTATTTTTTAGAGAAGTTTTAGGTTCACAGCAAATGAATAGTACTGAGTTTTCCGTGTTCCCCTGTCCCCCGTACACACACAGCCTCGCCTACTATGAACATCTAGTTCTGCCAATTTTTATTGCACGCCAACAATCCACTGGTTTTGCAGAGCTCTTGGGTTCTAAAAAGGATGCCTCCCTTTTCAAGTGAAAACCTTGAGTGACCTCACCACTGAAGGACAGTGGATGGAATATTTCCCCCTACCACACAGGACAGAGGCGGGATCAGTGACTGAAAATCACACACACAAAAAAACTATGGATAACAGGTCAGGGAGTAACTCAGAGACAGTGGGGCTTGCCTAGCATGTGCAGGGCCTGTGTTTAGTCCCCAGCACTGCAGAACAGAACAAAACAAAAAAAGCCATAGATCGTAGGTTGAACCCAGGCATTGAGACAAACCTGGGAGGCCAGCAGGTCTTCAGGATGCCAGCCAAGCTGACTCTGGCCCACCTACCCTGGAGGCATTGGACAAAACAGCACAGAGGAGGCAGAAAGCACCAGTCTGGAAAAGTGACCCTCCTCTTTTTCGTTGTCTTCCTAGCACTGGGGGCAGGGTAGGGTGGATGATGTGATGACAAAGTAACACATGAGCTTCCCTCTCTGTCTCAGCCACAGTGCTGGCTCCAGGCCCTTAGGCAGATTGCTTCACTTCCCTGGCCTGGGTTTTCCTGGATGCTGTTTTCCGTGCTCAGGGGTGTTCCGAGGATTTCACAAGGGAAGGTTTCTAAAGCATCTAGTGCGTGCCTGGCATGCAGTAGGTGCTCAATAGACACATTTCTCTCCTCTTCCACATGGGAAGCTGCTGCCCCTTCCAAATGCCTACCTAATAGCTCTTCCCATTTCTCCTGGACTTTCCCTAGCTTCTTTCATTCTAATAGAGGGGACAGACATAAAGCCAGGATGACTGTCATAGAGGTAGAGTCTTGATGGGCTTTTCACAAGCCAGCCATTTCTTCAAGAAGATCAGGACTCCCTCTCCATCTGCTTTGACTCCTTGACCGTGCACTAATCAGGGTGGGTCACAGTATGCTGCTACAACAAAGAGCCTCACTGGACAACAAAGGCATCTTGTGTCTCTCTGGCAACACAGCCACCAAAGATTTCTGGGCGCTCTAATTCCCGCCCTCTGCAGGGCCTGCACAGACAGAGAATCCATTGTCTAGAGTGTGGCCAGCTCCACCCATGGCAGAGAGAAATAGAGAATGTAAACCACGTACCAGTCATAAATCTCTACCCTGATATGACACATGTCTTCTGGTCATGTAGAATTGGGCCACTTCAAGAAGATGGGGGAAGTATAAGGCTACCCTTTGCTAAGAAGCACTAGGAATATTTGATGATAACATTAATGACTATCACAGCCCAGCTTTAATCCATAGAGTAATGCTGTAAATTGCTATCATGATGGCAAACTTAAAGATGAGGCCCTGAAAGGTTGTATCATTCCCCTAGAAGTACACAGGGAGTAAGCAGCAGATCCTTGTCATTTTGAATACCAAGTGAGACATTTCACATTAATTCTTTAAAGTGTCAGAGAGGCAGTTATGGTGCTGTTAAATAAACCATGCCCCCATTCCTTCTGTACTCACTCCTGTGCCCCAGCAGCCCACCCCTAGCTCTCTTGTGGTGCCTCCTGCACCACTGTAATTATCAGTGTATTTTGCAGGCTTGTCTCAAGACCATGAGTTCTTTCATCACTGTACTCTCTGCATCCAGGGCACAGTCAGGTGCAAAGCTGCCTGCTGAGCCACTCTGGGGACTGCTTAGTAAGTCAGGAGGTAGAATGATGTCTGAGGCATAACTTCACTAGAAAATTGGAGTCTTGATGGTTATTCCCTAACACAGCCTGACAGTTCTTAGAAAGGAGGATGATCTCTTGTCCATGAAATTCTGATGGCTCCAAAGGTGTTCTTCACACTTCAGGTCCCATGGCTGGAAACTCCCAGGAAAACTAAGAATAGCCTTAGGCAACTCTTAGCTTTCACAATATGTTGTTGTTTTTGTTTTTGGTACTGGGGATTGAGCTCAGGACCGTGCACTTGTCAGGCAGGTGCTGTGCCACTGAGCTACATCTCCAGCCCAGCTTTCACAGTATGACAGCGTTGATGTAAGAAATTGTCTTCATGGGGTCCCATATCCACCTGAAATTGCCTTCCCCATTGCTTCTGCTTTTTGAAAAGGTGGACAAAGTGAGCTTTTATATAGATCAAACACATATTTCCCATAATTTCTTGAAAATGTCAGAGATGCAGTTGTTCCATTATGAAAAGTTTTTGCTTTTGGTATTCTCTCCCCATTTAGATGCAAATGTTGGACAAATTTCCCATGGAAGGAGGACAGAAGGACCCTAAGCAGCGGATCATTCCCTTTCTGCCAGGTGGGTGACATGCATGTTCTCAAACAGGGATGCTAGGAACTGCAAAACAGCTCCTAGATCTCGAGACAGCTTAGGAGGTCACCTCCTTCATCAGGGAGCATTGTGCCCCTCACTAGAATCCCAGTCATGGCAATACAAGACTAAGAATATGGGCTTTGGAGTTAGATGCAACATCATTACTGGGTGTGTGACCTTGGGAGAGACCTTCACCTCCAGGATGCTCGGCTTCTCCCATCTCTCAAATGGGAATCACCAGAGCTTAAAAGTTTTTGAAGTGGGCTGCTTCCATTAGTACAGCTACTGTATTAGTTTTCCTCCATCAGAGGTTATCACCAGTTTAATAGCATACAAGTAAAACAACACCCATTTATTCCCCCACAGTTCTGTGGGTCAGAATTCCACACAGGCGCAGGGCCTCACGAGGCCAGTCAAGCTGTCAGCTGTGCTGAGCTCTTAGCAGGAGGCTCTAAGGAAGAATCCACTTTCACCTTCACTCATATTGTGGCAGAATTCAGTTCCTTACAGCCACTGGACTGAGATCCCCCATCTGCTCACTGGCTGTCCGCTGAGGGGCCTTTCAGTGCCTGGAAGTTACCTGCATTCCTTATCACATGATGTCTTCATGGGAAGCCTAAAAGTGGGACACTGGATTTTTCTTAGGCTTCAAATCCCTCTGACTTCCCCTTCTGCTACCAGTCAGACAAAGCTGTCTGCTTATAAGGGCCCATGTAGTTACCTGGCTAATCCAGGATAATGCTCGTCTCCTAAGGAGAATGTGAGGCGTATAATGTAACATACACAGACTCTGGGGATTAGGGCGGGACATTGTTGTAGAAATTCTACTTCCTTACCTACTACAGCTACCAAAGGCTTTCTGAGCAGCGGATGTCACACTGGCTGCTGTGGAAGATTTAATGCCATTTGGGCTCGTCTCTGTTCTCAAAGCAGCCAGTATCCCACTCATCCCCTGCAAACAAACTTTCTTACCAAAGAATGGTATGAAGGCTGCAGCTGGCAAAAAAGGGGATTATCTAAACCAGTGCTCTTGCTTCAGGTCCTAATAGCTTCTATTTATTGGCTGTCTACTGTAGGCCAGTTGCTAGGGTAAGTGCTTTATGTTCGTTATCCCTTGCAGTCCTCCAGGACTAACCTTGCAGGGTAGGCTTTTCTGTGACTGTTTCACAGATGAGGAAACTGAGGCTCAGAGCACTATAAGCATTTGCACAGGTAGCAGAACTAGATTCAAACACAGCTATGGCTGGAGTCAAAAGACCTGGGTGCTAAGCCCAGTGCTTCCATTCACCAGCTCTTTAAATGATAAGTACAATGAGTTTTATGTCTTCATTTGTTTGTTTGTTTGTTTGGTACCGGGAATTGAACTCAGGACCTTATGCTTGCCAGGCATGCGCTGTGCTATATTGCCAGAGCTATATCGCCAGCCCTATGTCTTCATTTGTAAACTGTAGATAATAATGGTCCTTTTTTTTCTTTTTAAAAACAATAATAAAAAACAATAAAAATGATACAGAATTTCAAAACAAGATGGTAGGAAATTAACAATGATTATTATATTGCATATTGTTGTCTTCAAAGTAGTTGCTCAGATTACCAGACATAGGCATGTAAGATTAATCAACAATATAAACATTGTATAATGGTCCTTAAATGATGGCGCTGTTGTGAGTAATATGTAACTGCCTGGCAGATAGCTTAGGGTCACCAAACACTCTCTATACTGTTTTTATCTAGAGATCATCAGCAAATTGGCAGTCACCCTAAGTCACAGATGTTTGCAGCTGGAGGGATCCCTTTAGACCTTTTTCCTTTTTCAGGCATGGGAACAGGCCAGGGGCCATATGAGTCCCCAAGCCCAGGATGTCAGTGGGTTCTTTCAGGTATCATCATGCATGAATAGGCTCAGAGACGGTAGATATGTCTACCAGGCCGCATCTTCTGGGAGAGTCCTTGGCCTTAAAAGCGTGGGTAGCCATGCTGTGGGAAAGCAAACAACCATGCTCTAAATAGTTGCCTGCTGGAGAAAACCCTATGTGCCAGCTGCAGCAGCCAAATATCAGGACTCCAAAGCACAAGCTTTGCAGTCAAACAGGCCAACCCTGTGACTTCAAGTAGATGACATCTGCATCAGAGCCTCATTTTCCACCTTAGTAGGACAGTGACCCTTGCTTCACACAGAAGCACATAGCAGTGCGTCCCTGGCACCTAGAAGTCATAGGCAAAGACAGCAGTAGAGTCCTCCTTTGGGATTTCTTGGTTTCATGTGTTGGAGTCATCTTTTAATGAGCAAGAATTTAAGTGATATTCAAGTTAAACTAGGCTCTCAGTGTAGGTTTTTCTTCAAGAAAAGAAAGGAGAGCAGTAAGTAAGAGCTTTTTTTCTGGATGAAAGGCAAAACCATCTCTGGAAAAACTTCTCAGGACAGGGAACTCAAGCCCGACCCTCTCCCAAACTCTTAAAAGCTTTCATGGTTACGTAATCCTTTTCCACCCAAGAATTAATAAAAACACTCTTCCCCAAGACTTGGCCCCTTTGTCCCTGCTCAGCAGTCCTACTCAAAGTTTGGAGAGGTCCCCTTGGGCCCCAGGGCCCCTGGCATATCCCTTCTGAACCCACCTCCCAGCTTTTCTGGAGGCCAGGGGTCCCTCGCCTAGGGTTTTCTGCCCAGACTGCTGCATCAGCAGAACAAAGGAAAGCCTCATGTTAGCACGGAGGCGGGGGAGGGGACTGGCCTCTGCAATTTTCCATCCCAGCAGGAGCTGGGGGAGCCAACTTGGCAAAGGATGCAGCTTGAAAAATAAGAATTACAGTTTGGCCTCCCTCCATCATGGAAAACAAAAGCCGACCCATTCCCACCAAGGCTTTGCTCTCCTCCCAGCACCCTTTCCATCCCAGGGCGGCAGCAGGTGCGCCCTCCTTCCCTGCAGAACCACTTCCCAGCAGGCGCAGACCCGGCCCCTGTCCCCTGCTAAGGAGGTGCTGGCTCTGCCCCAAGCACATCTCCCACCCTGCTGTGGGAAATGGCCCTTATCCCACCAGGGGCTGGGTTCCAGAAGGCTGGGGTTGAAGAAGGAATTGGTGTGCTGTTAATTAGAGTGTCATCAGAACTGCTTCAGGGCAGAAAAAGTAATTATTCTTTCCTGAGCGCCAACTAAGGTCCAGCCTCTGTGCTGATGACTTCTAAGACAGAGGAGCTGCTCTCCTATTTTACATTCTCCTATTTGAATGCATTTCCCAAGGCCGCTCCAGCAGGCCGCCCTGCTTTGGCTCCCTCTGCTAGCCAGGCACCAGTCCTGCCCCAAAAAGCCCCATCCCCCCACAGCAACCAGGAAGAGGAATGACACATTTGTCCTGTGTCACATCTGCAGAAACACTGGCCTTCTCCGTGGACTCTTGCAACTCAAGCCCTGGGTGAATTTCAGCATTGGGCTCTTTAGCTGTGTGGTGGCTTCGGGACAAGCTTGCCTTTTGCCATCATCTAGCACTAACCCCACACTGGTTATAAATATTTTGAGCCAGCTCACAGCCTTTGCACTTAGAAGCCTGTATACCCACTCCCTCCCTTCCCCTGAACTGCTGAAGGGGACAGACAGTGTTCCAAAATGAGAGCAAATTCTTTTGGTTAGGGAGTCCTTTGACACTTGGAGAAATAAATGACAGGACAGGAGGCATTTGTGCCACAGGAGTTCTCTTTAGGCACGCATTTCTTATTTCTCCAGAGGCACAGGACACTCCTAGGGGAGTCCCACCCATGAGGGCCAGTATAGATGGGAATTTGGTTGTCACATCCCTGAGGTGGGAAAGCTACCAGTTTTGTCTGGATTTAGACCAAGGATGCTCTAGGGTGGAGGGACCGTCCCGCCGAAGGAAGGATTGCCCCACCCAGAGTGTCAGAGGGTCCTTCCCTGGTGGGGAACACCAGTTGCCAGGTACCCTGCCCCCTGCCAGCCCCTAGCATGGGCACAGGAAGGAGTCCCACTGAGGCTGTGCCCGCTGAGTGAGTGAGTAAAGGACGGAAGGCATTGTCACTTCTGGAGAAACCAAGCTGTAAACACCGTCCCCCTTCACCGAATCATTTGGGTGAGATTTTATTTGTTTTTGCTTTTCATTCTATGTAACATGAAATTTTTCTGATTCTGGAAGCACTAAGTGTTCATGATAGAAGCTTTGGGGGGAAGTACAAAGAAAACCAAATTGCCTGTTTTCCATCCCTCCGAAGACAAACACTTTGAACCCTGAGATGCGTGTCCTGTAGATTTTCTTTTCTAAAAAGTGTAGATCTGCCAGAAAGGTACAGCATCATGGAAGAGCATGGATGTTTGGGGGAACATGAGGTGTGAGCAGAGGGTGAATGAGAAAGTGATCTAAACTTCCAGGTTAGGGCAGAGTTGAGTGTGTAGTGTTCTGCTCGCGCAGTCTGAGGAACCCTGGGGTTGCAGAGGACCTCAAAACACCAGGCCCTCATAAGGTAGGCGCCTTTACGTCATCAAAACCTCCTCACTGGGAGTCAGACAGAGAAAGACAAATACTGCATCATGCACTCACGCATATGTAGAACTAACAAGTGACCCTCGGAAGTAGACAGAATAGAGACTCCGGCAGGCTGAGAAGAGTGGGTGAGGAAAGGATGGCTGAAGAGCACAGGTGCAGTTGGATAGGAGGAGCATCTTCGGATGTTTAACAGCACAAGAGAGTAACCATGGGTAAAGGAAATTACTGGTACACTTCACCTTAGCTAGCAGATTTGGGATATTTCTAGCACAGAGATGAGATAAGTGTTGGAGGGGTTAAGCATGGCAATTCACCTAATCTGATCATTACATGCTATATATGTGTAGGGAAATGTCACACTGTACCTCATGAGTGCGGGCAATTACTGTATCTCATTTTAAAAATATTTTTAAAAGCTTTATTCCTGGATGGAACTGGAGATGGTAGAGTGGTAGCTCAGTGGTAGAGTGTATGCTCAGCATGCACGGGGCTCTGAGTTCAATCCCCAGCACTAGAAGTGTAAAACTTACTCACCATGTCTCATTCCCCCAAGCCCTTGAACTAGAGCCGTGTGTGCCCAAGGCTTAGGGAACCACACATGGCATTATCCAAGCCATGTCGGAGTCCAGCAGGGGGATGGCAGCCAGGAATTTTGGTCCCCCTCAGGCCTCCCCCTCCAGGCTTGCCGCTCTCTACAGTGCTGTGTGTGCTCCCATCCTCTGCAGGCAAAATCCTCTTCCGACGGAGCCACATCCGGGACGTAGCTGTCAAACGCCTGATACCAATTGATGAATACTGTAAGGTAAGGCGAGAGATGCCAACGAGATCTTCTCTGTGGGTGTTCTGTTTTCCTTTCTGCAAGATGCTCATTGTGAATAATTTATGCAGTTGAAGGAAATTAGAAAAATAAATCACCCATGATCCCTTAGCCCAAAAGCAAACTTTTTTTTTTTTTTTTTTGGTTTTTTTGTGACAGGGTCTCGCTATGTAGTTCAGACTGGCCTTGAATTCACTTTGTAGCCGAGGTTGGCCTCAAACTTGCAGCGATCCTCCTGCCTCAGCCACCTGAGTGCTAGGATTACAGGTGTGTGCCACTACACCCAGCCTTGCAAACATTAGTAAAAGTTACACATATTTTCTTGCCATCTTTTCTCTATGTGAGAATTTCTTTATGGAGTTGAGACCATACTATATAATGTATTTTGTTGTTGTTCTTTCTCTTTTGTCTTATTATTGTGACATAAGAATCTCCCTGCTATTAAGAAATCTTTTTGAGCTTACTTTTAACAGCTGCATAGTACTGCATTGTATGTGAATGTTCCAGAAGTTGTTCAGCTTGCCCCTGTTGTTGGGTGGTACAACTGGCTTGTCATCCCTTGAATGTTTGAGACAAGAGGCCTGCCTTTTGGTTATATTTCAATTGCCTGGAGGTTGTGATCAGAAAAGAACCCGATTTTTTTTAGCTTCTCTTGCTTTTCGTGTTTATTTCTCCACCTTACATACCAAGTGTGTAAGGAGTAGCAACAAATGCCTTAAAATGGAGCCATGAAGGATTTCTACCTTTGATCAGGAACTAAACAAGTATGTTCACCCTCACCACCTCTGCCTCATGCGGTACTGAAGGGGCACCAGGGTAGACACCCGAGAAAAGGAGAATAAAAGGCACCAGATTGGGAAGGAAGGAGTAGAGCTGCCTTACTTAACATATGTCATGATTCTGTCTGTTGAAATCGTAAGACACACATATAGACATACACAGGCACGTACACACACAAGCACACACAGGCGCGCACACACACACTCTTGAACCAGTGAAGGAATTTCATAAGATCATAGGATACACAATTGACAGAAATCAATTGTGATTCTATATTTGAAGACTAAATACTGCAGAAATGAAATTAAGAAAACAATTCCAGTCACAATAGCATCAAAAAGAATAAGATGCTCAGAAGTAATCTTACCAATGGAAGTATAAGATTTGTGCACTGAAGCTATAGAACATTGCTGGAAGAAATGAAAGAAGATCTGAAGTATATGTAGAAATCCGAAGGACCTCAAATAATCAGAACACTTTTGAAAAAGAACAAAATCAGAGGAGTTGTAATAGCCATTTCCCAAAACTACAAAGCTACAGTAATCAAGACACTATGGTACTGACAGAAAGATACATATGGATTAGGGACACAGCACTGAGAGTCTAGAAGATAAACTCATATAAAATATATGGTCAGTGGATACTCAACAAACGTGCCAAGACAACTCAGTGGGGAAGGGTGATCTTTTTCATAAACAGTTATGACAGTCAGCTATTAGTCATTGCGTTAGTTCCCTAGACCTGCATTAGAAAATGATCATAAAGTGAGTGGCTTCAACAATAGAAATTCATCTTCTCACAGCTCAGGCCGTCTTATTCAGACTTAATTTCTTGAACTGTGAGAAGGTAAATTTCTATTGTTTAAGCCACTCACTTTGTGATCATTTTTTAATGTAGATAGCTGACTGCTCCCTGTGACATCACATATGGTCTTTTCTCTGTGGCTATATCCTCATGTCTTCTTCCAGGGACACTAGTTATATTGGATTAAGGTCCATTCCTTTGGTTAATCTTAAATTAGCTCTTTAAAGGCCCTATTTCTAGTGATAGTCACATTCTGAGGCACTGACTGTGCTTTAGGACTCATTCTGAGTTTAGGAATGAGGGGAGGACACAGTTAAATCCATAACAGCTATACATATGCCAATAAATAAATAAAATTAAACATATATTCTCTTATATGGACATTTCACGTTTTCATCCATTCATCATACAGTGGAATATTAGCACTATAAAGCAATGAAATATTGATAAATGCTGCAACCTGCATGAATCACCAAACCATGATGCTAAGTGATAGAAGGCAGATGCAAAAGACTACATCTGGTATGATTCCCTCTATATAAAATGTGCAGAAAAGGCAAATCTGTAGCAACAGAATGCAGCTCAGTGGTTTCCTGGGCCTGAGGGCGGTGGAAGTGGAGATGGACTGCAAATTAGGTGGGGAGAATTTTGAGGTGATGGAAAATTCTAAAACTAAACTGTGGTAATGATTGCACAACTCTGTAATTTACTAAATGTCATGGAATTATGCATTTATAATGGATAAATTTTATAGTATGTAAATTATACTGCAATAAATCTACAAAAGAATTTTAAACAAAAGGGGGCAATGTGGGGACAGATGACCCTTGTCTTGGCAGGAGAGATCAAGGAAAGGCAGAAAACTACTCCCATTTGAGTGTCTGCTCTTTTCAGACATGACCTCATTACATCTCTCTAGCAACTTTTCAAAGTAGATTTTAATGTTCCCATTATGTAGATGAGGAAATGGAGGCCCAACAAAGTTACTTCCAGTAACAGCATTGGAGAGTTTGGGAGCTGAACCCAAGCCTTTTATACTTCAGCTCTCACACTCCACTTGTGGCTTTTCTGAGAAGGTAACAGTGCAAGAGGCCAAACTGTTCAAGCATATGTCTCAGAGGCAGTGCAATGGCATGAGTGTGCTCCCTAAAGGTTCGTGTCCTGGAACCTCAGTCCCCAGTATGGCAGTGGTAGAACCTTTGAGAGTTGGTCCTACTGCAAAGTAAGTCACAGGACATCACCCTTGGAAGGGATTAGTACTGATTTCAAAGTAAGCTAGTTCTCTTGAGAGCAGATTACTATTAAACAAGCCCACACTGTGTGCTTGGCCACTTTTGCACATGGCTGGTTCTCTTTCCATTTCTCCACCATATTGTGATGCATAGCAAACTCTTGCCAGGATGCCAGTGCCATGGTGTTTGAACTCTCCAGTCACCAGAATCATGAATCAAACAAACCTCCTCACTTTATATAGTAACCAGCCTCAAGTTATTTTGTTATAGCAGCAACAAACAGATCAATACAAGCAGATAAACTCAGATCTCTCTCCTAAGTATATTCTTAAAAAGGGATGAAGGTGAGGGACAGAAACAATCATTCAGTCACAAGGGCATTACTTCTGCCTTCTAATACACACAGGAAAATTTAAGTTTTCTCTTTGTCCCTTTTCTAACTTCTAAAGTCTGAGATTCCCACCCTGGAGACAACGTTCCTTTGTCAAATCTCTGCTGGCAAAGACTTTGGCACCTTGGAGTCATCTTGCCAGGAAGATCCTGCTAGTATCTTCCCCAGAAACTGTTGTGCCTCAGCCCAAATTATGCTATTCTATTTCTTCCCCAGCCTGCCTTATGTCTCTCAGAATCAGATTTTCCTCATACCCAGGGCTTCCCTAGCCTCTGGACACTTGATTTTGAAAAAGAAATTTTAGTGACAATAATGGATAGCAGCAGCTGCCTGCAGCTGCATGGCAGTTGGAATGATACAGAGATCATGAATTCATTTGGATTAACCACAGGGAAGAAACTGCTTATGTTATATGAGCCACGTGGAAGTTATCACCCTTTCCTATTAATGAATCATATGAACAGAGCAGATATTTTTGGATTTTGGTTGGCCAGATTCCCTTGGCCCAGCTTCACGGGAACTGCCCTCCTGGAGGGAGATGAAACTGTCCCTTTTGTCACAAGATCTGCAATTTTACAGACTGTGTGTACCATAATACTTGAGTATCTGCTATTGACATCATTTTGAACTGACTTAAACCAAGTTGATCCATCACAGTTAGCTTTATTTAGCAGAAACTGGCAATCTCCGATAGGTAGAGATAGACAAGGGCTGTAGATGTCTTCAAACCTAGCTACCAGTTGAGTATTACAATGGAAAAAACTTTCTGTTCTATCAGACCTATTATAAAGTTATGGTAATTAGCAGAATGTATTGTTGGCACAAGGACAGAAAAGATAATAGAACAAGATTGAGAACCCAGAAAGAAATCCACATATATCTAGAGATCTTGATACTGACAAAGGCATCCTTGGAGATTATTGAGGAATGATTAGATTCCTCAATACATGAGTATCAGTGTAGGAAAAAAAAACAAAAAAGATAACTAACGCCTATCTCACACCACACATGAAGTCATTTACTCATTTCTAAGGATATGAAAGACATCGCTATAAGAAGCAGTGGTATAAAATGTTTTAGAAGCCAAAAATAGGAAAACATCTTCATAACCTCTATGCATAGAAGGAATTCTAGACAGAAAAAGTATCGACCATAAAAAGATTTATTTACTTGATCACATTACATTTAAGAACTTCTGTTCATTGGAGGGTACAATAAAAACCTGACTTCACTGAATCCTGCCACACATACCTGCATTTATTATCACTCCCAGCTTCGTAAACAGCCGCTAAGCTGTCCTGGCAGCTCATTGAAATACCAGCTGATTGTCAGGCTCCACTTGTAAGCAGCTACTTGAGGCAGATGCAACACATTCTGGGGACAGGATCAGTTCATCCTAACCATGACCTGACAGAAAACCCCTCAAAAAAAGGCTGAACACAGAAACAATCCAGAGTCCTACACCCAGGACATAATTAGGAAGGTTGTATGTGCAATACTAGGGCTCACCAGCATTTGTTCATGCAAGAGCCTGAGCACCTAAGAACGTTTCTAGAACATTTCTTGTTTCACTAGTGAAAAAAATCGTTTCTAACAATTGTTAATGAATACAGGCTGCGGTGTGGATCTGAAATAAACAGCTGAAGCCTTAAAATCCTAAAGTAACAACTTCTGATTAAACTTTAGTCCGTGTGCTGTGGCTATAACAGAATATCTGAGACTACATAATTTGTGATCTGTAAAGGGAAAGAGTTTATTTTGGCTCTGGTAGCTGGCAAGTATGGTGTCAGTGAAGGCTTCGTACTGCTTCAACTCATGCTGGAGAACAGAAGATCAAATGGGTGCATACAAAATAGCAGAACATGACAGCCAGCCTCACTTTATAACACCCATTCTCACGGTAACTAATACAGACCTTGGAGCACTCACTGGAAAAAAATTGCATTAATCTATTCATGAGAGTTCTGCCCCCTTGACCCAAATAACTTGCATAAGCCCAACCCAGTATTACCACATGGTATTAAATTTCCACGTGAGTTTTGGAGGGGACAGACCATATTCGGCACATAGCAGTCTATTTGCTGAAGTACTAGTCTCCAAAGGAACTTCAGCTATTAACTAACCATAGGGTATAGCTTAAGTCGGACATGCCTGTGTGTGAGGTGTAGCCCATGCTATAGTACAGTATTTTAAAGAAAACTGTAGGCAGCATGGTAGCAATATTTACCTCCCTTCCCGATTTTAGTCATATACTAATACATTTCTTTAAGTTCACTTACTTTTGATATTTAAATTTTTCTAAATAATGTAGTTTAGGGCTGAGAGTCTACCTTACTGGTAAAGTTCTTGCTTAGCATGTGGAAGGCCCAGAATTCAATCCCCATCAGCACCCTCCAAAAAATTATTTTAGAGGAAACTTTATATTACAACCATAGTATAAAATAAGTGTCATGTACCAAAAAAGGAAAAATTAAAAAAAAAAATTGAAACAGAAGAATGTCTTTAAATCTACCAAGCTGCTGTTGCATGACTACCTGAGGCTGTGCAGAGCCTGGTCCCGCTCTCAGGAAGCAAGCTGGAGATGTGTCACCTCCTGGGGTATTCTTTTTGGGATTAAAGAGCATTTAAAGAGTACTGAGAAACAGATGCTTTCTTCTTAGTCCATACATTGTTATTTAACATAATCATCTTACTGGCTCGAAAATTTTGCCTCTGTTGTACAACGAGCCCAAGAGTTAATAGATGCTTATCAAGCAACCAGTATGTGATGGAAACCATACAGCCACTTCCTTGCTTATTCTGTAGCACAACCTTCCCAGGTGGGTACTGTTCCATTTTACAGGTGAGCAGACTGGGGCTTAGAGAATAGAACTTGGCCAGACTCACACAACTCAGAAGTGACAGAGCCAGAATCAGAAGTTGGTTCTTTCTGTTGTTTTTTCATTACCCTCACCAAGCAGGATTTGCTGTGCTCTCATCCCAGCATGGGCTGGCCACATCTATACAAAGAGTCAAGATTCCTTCCTAAACAGAACTGAGTTTTCCTGGAAATGTGGTGCTTTATCACTACTGACTAAACATAGGACAATCCTAGAGTGTTTTGGAAGAATTCCTCTTTGGCCCCAGGTCATGTTTTACCGTTACCCAGTTCATCCTAAATGACAGGGCAGCACCAAAGCACATGGCACTGCCTCTGTTAGTAACTTGGCTTATTGTATGGTTTGGCTTTTACTTCCTAAGAATAGCTCAGAACCGGAGGAGAACTTGGCACCGCCAGGAGGTTTCCATGGGTTCACTGTCCCTTCCCTTATGGGTCTGGTTGAGGCCTTTGCCCTTCTTAGCCAGGAGCACTCAGGAGGGCCCGTTGAGGCCAAGACCCACCCAGTTCTCCTCGCACAGGGCCCTCCGTCGTGTCATTTATCTAGCAAACACTTTCGATCTGATCGCAGTCTTCCCAGCACTGTCGAGGTATCAGGGAGGGTAGGCAGTAGCAGCCCTTGTGCGCCTATCTTCTGTGGACTGCAGTTGGTCAGCCTAGGCCCTCAAATCCAAGTCACCACATCTCTAGAATGAGAAAATAGCCAGCTCTTCTAGGATTATATAAAGTGACAGATCATGCATTTCGGGAGCCATCAAGTGCTGAGGCAACCTCAGACAGTATTGTTATTACAGTCCCGGGGAGCCTCAGACATGCGCACACCGAGCAGGCAGAATGTGCCACCACACAGTGTATAATCAGCTCCTTCATTATGTGGTTCCAGCTGCAAGAACTGCAGGGCTTCAGAGGAGAAAGACCATGGCAGCCCCAGACAGTACTTCATCCAGGGCAGGAGAGGAGAAGGACCGCTCACTGCCCGGAATCGGAAAGGGGAGGGGTCAGAAATGAATGGGAAGTGGGGGAAGAAAGTGCCTCTTCTGGGCTCAGCCCTAGGCCTGGAAAAGGACAATCCCTGGGGACCGGCTATAGAGCAGGAGCCACTTCATCGCTAAGAAAGCATTGGCAAGCCCTTTAGGGCTACACCTTTCAGCCCAGAAGGGTGGAAGAATGAGCAGTGACCAGGGAAGTTGCTACACAGAACCATCCACCTCCCTCACATTGTGTCTTTGCACTTTTAAGTTGGAAGCAGGTCACACTTCGGGGGATTTTGCTTAAAGTTAGAGCCAGATTCAGAAATCACATAGGATCAGCAATCCAAATGTCCACTGGTGTATGAGTGGATAAGCATGATGTGTACACACAATGTACACATTGTATGCTACTCAGCCTAAGGAAAGAAATTTTGACACATGCTACAGCATGCATAACCCTTGAATGCTGTAAGAAATCACTCAGACACATAAGGACATATACTATGATTGCTCATATGTGAAGTACCTACAGTAGAAAACTCTCAGAAAGTAGAGTGATGGGAAAGAGTTACTGTCTGATGGTTGGAGTTTCTGCTTTGCAAGATGAAAGTGTTCTGGGGAGTGGGTGGTGGTAATGGCAGCACAGCATTGTGAATGTGTTAATGCCACTGAACCGCACTCTTGAAATGGGTAAGATGGCCAATTTAATACTATGTGTATTTTATCGCACTTAAAAAATTTTTAAATTGGGGGGGGACAATCACATAGGGTCAAAATAACCCTGAAACCCTATACAAGGTGCCACATTAGAGACCTCCATTCACCCCTTTCCGTTGGTGCATCTAAGCCAGGTACTCCTGCAGGACTGACATATTAACGTGGGAGTGGGAGTGGGGATGATGAGCTTTCAAGGGCTGTTAGAAAAGAGACATATCTCTTCCACCAGACTCACAGCCAGCATGGCGCGAAGGTCGTACAAAGCACCAGAAGTGAGGCCTTCTAGGAGAGGGTGGAGTCTTGTCTCCACAGAGCGTGCATTGATGGTGTCAGTGTGCTGTTTAAATCATGCATGTGTTTGCACATTTCCCCTTCACAGAGGTTTGTAAAAGATATGTGCAGATACCAGCTCACTGCACTAGGATGTGTGTCCTCATCTTCCCCACCCAGAGCCTGGGCCAGAGGGGTTAATGTTTGTGCAACTGACCTGTATGCTGAAGATGGAGCCACATCTTAGGTTCAAATCCCTTAATGAGTGAGATATACCCTGTATTTCTCTTGTATTTCATGCAGAAACCAGTTCAGTACTGGGAAAAAAGAAAATCCCCATCAAATCATTGAATGAATACCTGCTAGAGATAAACCAGCACAACCAGTGCTAGTTCCACTTTGTGCCCTCTGTCTGCCTCATCCAGCCTGTTGGCAGGTATGGTTGAGGCACCGTCATGGGCCAGCTGCTAAGTCACTGCGGCACAAAGATTAGCATGAATTAGCCAGTGGAGACCCAGTCAGTTAGCCCTTTATTAACCTGGAGACTTCTCTGTTCAGGTCCGACCTCTATTCAGGTCAAAAAACAGTCTCTTCATTGTAATGCGCCAGATCGAGGAGTTAAGACATTTATGCACACATGTTGGAAATAATGTAAATATACACCTGTGGGTGACTCATTGACTAAAATATGTGATATCTATACAAGAGACAACCAGTATCTAGTATAATGAAAATGCACAAAGATCACAGTTTATTGTTAGCAAAATAGCATAGTCTGGTATTACATAAATACATATAATTTGTACAAATATGCCTACAATTTATGTGTGTATGTATATACATCTATTCTGTATGTGTACACACATGCGTGCTCACGCCTACATGTGTGTTCCCAAACCAATAGCATCTGCATCACCAGGGCACAGTCTCAGGCCCCACCACAAACCCACTGGATCAGAATCTCTGAGGCAGGGCCCCACAGTCTGAATTTTAACAAGCCCCCAGGTAATTCTGATGCCTGCCTACAGTCAAGAACCACCAGCTCATAGCACTTTTCATACTCCCTTTCCCTCAGACTCACCTGCATCTGCCTTTCTTCTGCAGGCCCTGATCCAGCTGCCCCCCTATATATCTCAGTGTGAGGAGGTACTGCAGTTCTTTGAGACAAGACCCGAGGACCTGAATCCCCCCAAAGAGTAAGTTGGTGTGTGAACCTCCCCGAGTCTGCCCTCAACTCCCTCCTGCAGATCCAGCCAGCCCCAGGAGGGGCGGAGTCAAGAAAAGTACACATAAAGCCCAGTTTCATTGATTCAGCCCTGCAAGGTCTCACTGCGTGTGGCCTTCACAGTTGGTGCAAGTGGTTAACTCTAGTCCTGTTTGACAGATGAGTGCCTGACTGAGGGCCCTGGTCACATAATACTCTGCGCTGACTCCCAGCACTTCTCCTAAGGTGTTAGAACTGGGGAGACTGTAAGCCTGGGAGACAGGGACTGTGCAGCAGATTCTCCGCAGTGCCTCAGCCACGGAGCTAGTTGTGCTTAGCAGCTACAGGCTAAGTGTCCCTTATCCAAAACGTTTCAGATTTCAGATTTTGGAGTCGTCACATATGCCTCTTTAATGGGAATAATAATACGTACTTTGCAGTTTTATAAGACATATATGTAACATATGTGAATTGCTTAACACATAGATATACAGTCTTCACAGCTCTTCCTCTTGATGTCAGGGCCAAGATGCTTGAGTTTTGCTGTCTTTTATGAAGCAGTAACAGAAAAAATAATTGATCTGCTTGATTTGTTTAAGCCTCTGAGCAGAGTTGGGTACCAGAGTGGATGTCCTACCGCAAGCCTTCCTCAAAGGCTAAAGAGGGATTATGATTCTCTGGGCCTTCCATGTAGGTCCCCCTCCCACCAAGTCCCTGGGTAGAGACCCATGTGGACAAGGTCAACTCATCAAATGTTTGCATTCCCCATCTTGTCACAACTACCACCTGGGCCCAAAAGCCACATGGAAACATACCCACTTCCTCCTTCAGGTGGCCTTGAGTTCTGATGGGCTCTTCTCAAACAGGGAAAGGTGCCAGCTGGCTTGGTACCTTGATTCCAAAATAATCCCAGTTGGAACAGGAAAATCTCCTTGCTCATTTTTCTGTTGGTCTTCAGCAAAATGCTGTTTTTATTATTGATTTACATAGACGTAAATATTGAGGAGTACATATACCGTAACATTACCGTGTACCCCATAATTACAAGCAGTTATAATTTGTCAAGGAAGAAACAGGGCTAGGTGTGTAGCTGAGTACTAGAGCATGAATTTAGCACATGCAAAGCCCTGGCATTGATGACCAGCACCTAAATAAATAAATGAATCTTAAGATTAGCCTTTGCCATATTTGTGGTAAATATTATATGTGTCTCTTTCCTTGACATTTATAAAACCTTTATGTTTTTATGAAGTCAAATGTGATAAACATTTTTCAAATACGACTTCTTCCATTGCTTTCGTCTTAGAAGGGCAGACATCATTCAGACACAAACTAAATAAATATTTACCTTAATTTTCCTAGTTGTTCAGTGATTCAGATTTTCTTTTAATATTTACTCACTGTGTCAGAATTCATTAATTTTATGTAAGAACATAAAATTTATGTAAGAACATAAAATTTCTTCTAAATTTTGAGGCTTTGAACAGCTAGAAGAAATCTTTTTGTCCCGTAAGTTAAAAAAAAAGCAAAACACTCCTAATAGAGTTTAAAGATCACTGTGTTGTTCTTCTTCCCTTAGAAAGGATAGAAGCCAAAAACCTCCTACCCTCTGGAGACTTCACTGTGGTGGCAAAGGCTGTGTAAACATGGGAATATGTAGACACACATGCGTGTGCACACACACGTGCACAAATACAGAATACCCAGTACAAACGCAAAACCAGCCTAGACTGTACCAAAGGAAGAACAAGGTAGCAGCCTTGTGCTGGATTATTTGTATCTGGTTCCAAGGGCCTTCCTCAAAAGAAGAGAAAGGTTCAGTCTTTGTCTCTTCCCAGCCGTGTGACCTTGGGCAAGTGATTTCATTTCTCTGAGCTATTTCCTCATCAGTAGAGAGGGTGCTGCTATCCTGGCTGACATCTTTATGTGAGGATTAAGCACCTTCCTACCACAAAGGATAATGTCACCACATGGCTGGGGTTCATCTAGTGGTGGCTTCCTGTCCTTATGCCAGGATTGGAGGGAGAGGAAGGAAGAGGGGAAGGTTGTCCAGGGCCTGAGGATGTTCTAGATAGGCAGTTTCATCTGGGCCCCAGTTGTTGGGTTAGATGTGTCCTGCCCAGGGGGGTTTGTCTCTTGCTCAGGATCTGGAAGCTGATACCCACATCAGGGCTCAAAGTAGGAACTGGGCCTTTTTTATCCAATTGCTAGGTGAGGAGCAATGGGTTCTAAGTAGTGCTTTTGGAGGGGGTTTGCTGCCCTGAGCTGGAGCACTTTGGAGCACCTCCAGACACGTCACATGGAGAAGATAACGAGCCTGCTTGAGCTCCCCTGTGCTGCTGCTGCTGCTGCTGCTACAACCCAAGAGGCCCTGCTGCTTCTCAAGCGCCTGCTTCAGTGGGGACTGTGGAAGGAGTTAGCAGAGTTTGTGGCAGAGAAGGAACCAGGACTCGAAGCAGCCCAGACCATGGCTCAGATGGCAGGCCTGCATAGCCCCTAGGAGGTGGCCTCAGTCAGGGAAGGTCAGACCAGCTGCTGAGCGGGGCTCCACCCACAGGAGAGGCCAGGGGTGGCTCCAGGTAGACTTCCCAGGTTCCACTCCTGGAGCTCCTCTCTACACCTCAGTATCTTCCAGTACACAGCAAGTGCCAATGAAGGGGACAGAGACATCCCACTATTGTCCCTGCCCCTTCTTGCAAAGTGGCTGTGAAGTTCAGCCTCCTAGAGACAATGCCTGGCTGCAGAATGGCATGGTCAGCTGGTCCTCCCAGCCCACACCAGGGCCTGGCTCCAGACCCAGCTTCTCCTCCCAGACACTCAGACCGTGGCCTCAGCTTCCCAGGGCTGGTTTAGCTCGCCTCCTCTCCTGAGGATGCTTTGCAGCATTATGACATGGTGGTTAAACCCAGACTTTAAAATCAGACACTGAGTAGACATTTTGCCAGGGAACATAACACATGGCTAGTAAGTGTGTCAGAAGGTACTCAGCACCATCAGCCATCAGGAGATGCAAGTCCAAACCACAGTGAAGCCTGCCTTTGTGCCCGTAAGCAGGGCCATAATAAAAAGGGCAGATAACAAGTGATATCCAGGACCTAGAGAAATCAGAACCCTCCGGCGTTGTTAGTGTTAAAATGTTGCCCCTGTGATATTATAGAAGCACCAAGGAGTTAAACCCTTGTGATGCAGCAGTTCATCTTCTAAGTATACAACCAAAAGAAATGAAAATGTATGTCTGACCAGGTGTGCTGGTGTAGCCTGTAATCCTGGTTATTCAGGAGCCCAAGGCATGAGGATTGCAAGTTCAAGGGCGGCTGGGCAACCTAGTAAGATCCTGTCCCAAAATAAACAGGGCTGGAGATTAGCTCAGCACTAGAACATCTGTGCAGTCATTCACAAGCCCCTAGCACCACCAAAAAAAGTATGTCCATATAAAAACTTCAGTATGGGATGTTCATAGAAGCATTTTTATAGCAATGAAAAAGTGGGGGGGGGAATGCCCATCAGCTAGTGAATAGAAAAGCAAAATGTAGTATATCCATACAAAGGAATATTATTCACCCATAAAAGGGAATAAAATATTAATTTACTAATTCATGCCACAACATGGATGAATCTTGAAAACATGCTAAGTAGAAGAATAAAGTCAGGGGCTGGGGATTTAGCTCAGTGGCACAGCACCTGCCCGGCAAGCGCAAGGTCATGAGTTCGATCCCCAGTGCCAGAAAAAAAACAAAAAAGAATAGAGACAAAAAGCTACCTATGGTTTGATTCCATTGCTGTGAAATGCCCAGAGAAGACAAATCACTAGAGACAGCAAGCAGACTGGTGGTGGTCAAGGGCTGGAAGGAGGGAGGAAGTGACTTCTCACGATTATGGGCGTCTCTTTGGGTTGATGAAGATGTTTTGGAATCAGTGATTGTTGCAAAACCTTGTAACTGAAGTAAAAACTAGTATGTGGTACACTTTTAAAAGTGAATTTTCTGGTGTGTTAATTTAAATTAAATGGAACTGGATTTGGATTTTGGCTTGTACTACTTGCTAGCTGTTGGGCAAGCTACTTAACTCCTTGTGCCTCATTTTCCTTATCTGTAGAATGGAGATAAAAGAGTAGTTCTCTCTTGGGTGTACTGTATTAAATGAATGAAGTAAAAGTACCTAGCAGGATTTCAACACACAGCAGTAGCATTTAATAATTACTAAATGATGCTACTATTGCCCCAATATCTATCCCAACCCAACTACTCAAATTGTATCACTAATAAGATCATTTACTTAAAAGTACTTTGTAAACCCTGACTTTGCAATACAGCTGGATCCATAATCTCTGACATGGTTGGCAACTATTAGTCATTAGTCGTTGTTCTCCATGAATTCTAGCCCACAGTCACTGAGGAGCTGTGCTGTGTGCACTGCTTTCCAGACTTCAACTGTCTTTAATGTGCTTGTGCTTCTTATATCATTTCCTACCAAGCACTTTGTGCTCCCAGTCTGTGCCTTAGGGGAGCCCAAGAAGTGGGACAGGAACCTCTGACAAGGTAGGGACTAGGGTTGGTGTAATGTGAGGCTCTAATCCCTGTTTCTAGACTGCATGACACCCTCTGCTCTTTCCCAGGACCCCCCATACTAGAAATACGTGGAGACACTGGTTCCCCCAGAACACTGGAGCACTTATCAGCTAAAGGGAGAAAATTTGGAGTAATTCTTAAGAAGCCTGGGTCCCTGATTGGCTTGTTTTTTAATCATCCACTGATGCTATTATGGGATAAAGAATCTGTTTCCTGATGGAATACTTGTGGCAATACACATCAGTACTGATGCATTACTCTTTCTTGCCCCCATTCTTTCCTATACAGGGAGCACATTGGGAAAAAGAAATCTGGTAAGAGTATTTCCCATCTTCTTTTCTTCGTTCAGTGTTTGACATATTCCTACTGAGTGCCTGCCATACATCAGGTTGGGTTTCACACTGAGGATATAGCAGTATGGGTGGGGAGATGGGTGGACAGATGATGGCGGGGTGCACACCTAGATGAATGGATGGATGGGTACATGGGTAGATGGATGGATGGATGGATGGATAGGTGGATGGATGGGTCGATGGGTGGATGGGTGGATGGATGGTTGGATGGGTGGATGGGTGGATGGGTGGATGGGTGGATAGGTGGATGGGTGGATGGATGGATGGGTGAGTGGATGGATGGATAGGTGGATGGATGGATAGGTGGATGGGTAGATGGATGTTTATTTGTTTGATATCCCCCCCATCCCTAGAAGAAAGATTTGAGGTTGTTTCATCCTGTATCAAGAAGTTACAGATATGCTGATAACCCTGTGATGGGAGTAGGAGAGTCAGATGTCTTCCTACCAACCTTTAGGGGGCTAAATGCCTGGGTTCCACTTTATACAAAATAATATGGGAGCTTAGCATTCTTCTCAGCTTCTAGAAGGAGTCAGAAGGCAAAGACTTGGGTCATGAGGAATAAGCAGAAGTCTCCATGTAACCAAGGGCATTCTGGACTGCATGCACTCGGACTGGGAAGCAGGAATAAGCAGCAGTCCTGGATCTAATCTACTGGACATCCCCAGCACCAGACTCAGCCTCTGTGCTTCCTTTGGTCAGCTGCTGGGCAATGACTGATTTTGGGCAATGACTGATACACAATAGAGCAGTTCCTATGCTCCCGGCCACTCACCCTGCAACAAACCCTTCCTAACAAGCTTTCCCTTCCCTGAACAACGTGGCTCTTCTATCAGAAGCAATTATGGAAAGAGAGAAGGTAGGAATCTGAATGTTCAGAGCACTGCTTGAGTTCTCACAGACCTAGACTTTAAAAAAATTCAGATCCAGAACAGCTCTACTTTGTCTTCCCACCACCCGTGATCATCTGTGAAGGCTCTGGCCTGTACCAAACCTAGAGCCAAAATAGTCATCAGATCTCCAGGATTCTAACCTCTGTCATTTCCTAGGACTCCAGCATAACCAGAAATCCCAAAAATAAAGACAAATGACCTCTCCCAGGGGCCTCAGTTTTCTTGTGTGTAAAATTGAGATTAAAAATAATCTGGGTTTGATGGGCATGGTGGCACACACCTGTAATTCCAGCACTTGGAAGGCTGAGACAGGAGAATCACTGCGAGTTTGAGGCCAGCCTGGGCTGTAAAGTGAGTTTAAAGCCAGCCTGAACTGCATAGTGAAACCCTGTCTCAAAAAAGACAAAAAGAAAATTAATCTATGTTACAAGATTGTGATAGGATTTATGATAATACATATTAAGTACTTAGAATAGTGTCAGGCACATTGTGTATACGTTTGGTGCTGTTTTTATTACTTAGAGAATAATGTTCCTGACCAGTGATCCCAAATTCAGTGGCCCCTGTCCCTTGATTTCCTCCTGGGTCTGAGGTCTCTGTTCAGCTTTACAGGCATCAAGGCTGTCTTGGAGGGGAGTATGAAGAGGAGCTGGATCTCTCTGCCTTAGGGAGGGCATCTGGAATTAACTCTGGCATTTGCTCAAATGGTCTGTGTACAGCTCTCTTTCTGGTTTAATTGGTACTGGCCAGAGCTGTGGTAACCTGCAAAAACTGCAAATAGTTCTCAAGCCCTGGGGATAATTACATGTTTCTTAGAAAAGAGCAGAGAGGGGCTGCCACTTGGGCTGGTCCCAGAATTCCTGGTTTTGAGTGTACAGAGACTTTCCCTGGGAGGAGCGGGTCAGAGGGAGGGAAGAGAGGAAAGAGATGGCTCCGGTTTGTGCAAACATAAGTGTCCGGTCAGAACAGGCTTGATGAGGGGACTTGTCTGGAAAAGAGAGACGTAGCTCTAATTTGTGGCAACTGCTGTTGGCGTCATTCACCTGCAATGATGGGGGACAGATTTATTTATAGTTAAGCCTGGGAGAAAAATGGCATCTTTCTTCACTCAGTCTAAGAGCCCATGCTGGGCTTGGCCTTATTTTTTATACAACCTTGACCTTTTGAACACTACCTTTATTTTAGAACTGGCCTTCATTGAATTTAAAAGGGATTTAAAGCTAACAGATTTAACTCCTGAGATTTCTGTGGCTGAACCCTACTGGAGAAGGCTGTCTGCCCCCCAGAATTTTCCAGTCTGACTGGCTGGCTCCCACAGGCATTGGCTAACGCGGTCTCAAATTCTGCTCATCCTGCAGGAAAAACATTTCACCACAGTGTAACAGATCATCCTATGGCTTAAGGAGCGTCTTTCTTCTTGATTGTTCTGCAGCTTGCTTTTTGAAGTAGTCTATGGTTTATGAATTTTTTCAGCAAGCGTAGCAATGTAGTGAATTATGGAAGGAAAATTCCACTTTGCCCACCTCTCATTTTAAAAATTCAAGACTTGCTGGGGATTTAGCTCAGCGGCACAGTGCCTGCCTGGCAAATGCAAGGTTGTGAGTTCAATTCCTGGTACCAGAAGAAAAATAAACAAACAAAAATAAAATAAAATAAAAATTCAAGACTTGTCATCATGAAGAAAAAATACCCAAATAGAAAACTTTTTTTTTTTTTTTTGCCTTTTTGAGACAGGATTTGCCTGTGGAGCTCAGGCTGGCCTTGAACTCACTTTGTAGCCCACGTGGGCCTCGAACTCACAGTAATCCTCCTGCCTCAGCCTCCCGAGTGCTGGGGTTACAGGCGTGAGCCACCACACCCAGCCTCCAAATAGAAAACTTCTGTGGTAGATTAGGCACTGTGCCACTTGAATATTTTTTAGCACTTAATGATACAAATCACCATCCACTGTCAAGTCTCCTCTTTTATCTCCTGCTGGGGCACAGGACATTTCTTGCCTAGGAAGCCTTTGATTTCATACTTGGCAACTCCTAGAACTTACATGCCTAGCTCAACTTTGGGGTATTGAAACGAGTAAGTGTTGTAGAGCTTGACCGCAGTATCACACTCCACCAGTAGGTGTCCTCCCATAACACCCACGTGTCCTGAAGCTAATTTGAGACTCGTGGTGATCAGATGAATTGGGTTCTCTTTTTCATCATTTTGGAGGAGGTGTGTTTGCCACTTGGTTGGTTGGTTGGTTGTTTTTTAAGACCAGGTCTCACTGTGTAGTTCTGGTTGGCTTCAAATTCTTAGTGATCCTACCAAGTGCTGGGATTGGAGGTATCCACCACCATGCCCAGCTTTTTTTCATGCATTTTGGTAAGTTGAGTGCTCCGAGTAAAGAGGACGTGGTCTGCTCAGAGAGCAGTGATGCTCTAAGGCACCTTCACACTTCTCAGAACTCCTTCATGACGGGACTGCAATCCAAAAGCCCCAAAGCTAATTCAGAGGAGGCGCCAGCCCTGGTCCCCATGTTTGACCCTGACCTACTCTTGCCAGACCAGAGATCTAACACTGCTGTCTGCCCCACTTAGTCCCTGGGTTCCTGTCTTGTTCACAGGTGTCAGGATTCTCTGATTCTGTCATTGATCATAGTTGTGCCAGATCCTATTGATATAATGGTTAGAAAATTGATACAGAAATGAGTGGACCGACTGGGCTACCATCAAGTGTTAAAAGTGCAGCAGTGGGACTTTTTGGGCAAAGTAACTTGAAATGAGTCCTTCCATAGCCAGAGCTGCTGTTCCTATTTATAGGAAAGGAACAATCTCTGCTTGCCCACACATGCATGGGCAGGTGCTTATCGATACTTCTCAACATGGGATACTCCCAGGGGAAGGACTAGAGCCCTGTGAAGGGCAGGAAGTGTTTCTAGAAATTTCCATTCATTCACTCCACAAATGTGTGTAAAGCACCTGTGCTCAGTACAGTGAGCACAAGTGAAGAAGACAGACACAGTTGTTCATTCAGTATTTACTGAGTACCCACGATGACTTTGGCAGTGCCCCAGGTCCCCAGAGAATGCAAAGGTGAACAAGAATTGGGAATTCTCAGTCTTATAGGAAAGACGGATGTATAAACAAAATAAAATGTAAGGGAAGTTTATTTATTTATTTATTTATTGTAGAATTCCACTCAATCTTTAATCAAGTAGGGACAAATCCCCACTTTAAAAAAATCTGCAGTTTGAAGGGCAAAGGGAACAGGTAAAAAAGAGGAAACTTTGTATTTGCCCCTCCCCGACAGAAGTTTTCCAAATCCGCTGTTGCTTGACTGAAATGTTCAGGATGTGTGGTTTTAAAGGCAGGTCTCTTTATACAAAGAAACTGCTGGCATTCTTAGCTAGTGATGAACTAGGGCAGAAAGGCTCATTCTTCTGAGTCTCAAACATGGTCCAAGAAAGCATGTTCTGATTGTAGCCAAGTGACCAGTCAACCCAGAGTTCCATTTATAAAATCCCTGCCCTGTTGGCTTTTTGTTTCCATTTCCAAGGGAGGTCATTTCAAACTGAGTTTTTAAATGTTGATTCTTTGATTGGAATACTTATTGGTGGGTTCATGCATGCTGGGCAAGTGCTCTACCACTGAGCTGCACCTCCAGCCTGATTGAGTCTTCCTAGGTGTCATCTGTGGACGAGGCCAGGAATTGGCAGCTGTTGTTTTTAAAGTCCAGATAGTAAATGTTTCACAGGCTGCGTAGAACTTCCGTCACTAATAATAATAATTTATTGTTATTGTTGTTCATCTTCTTCCCATTCTCTTTCTTCCTCTTCTTAACAACTCTTAAAATTTTTTTTTAAAAATTCTTAGCGCTCTTCAGGCAGAATGAACCTTCAGGCAGAATAAGTACAGCAGTAATCAAGAAGAGACTGATTCCCTAGCTTCATGGGCTGCTATGCTAGCACAGAGAAATAGGCAACAAGGAAACAAATAAGCGCTATGGTAAGAAATGAAAACTGGCGAGGTGGTGCCAGGCAGTTAGGAAAGGCGAGCATCCTATAGCAAGAGAGTTTGCTTTTATGACAGAGTCACTCACTCAGTAACAATCCTGCTCCCGAGGTCAGGGCGTTACCCCAGTAAGTTGCCTATAAAGGTCTTTCTTCCCAATATGGTCATAGTGGCCATTAATTCCAGCATGAGTTTTGCAGGCGACGTTTAACCCATCTCAGTGAGCTTTCCCACTAGGCTGTGAGCTTATTTGAGGCAGGTACCCTCTCTTATTCAGTGTGGAGCCCACTGTGTTTGCACAGTACAAGCACCTGGTAAGTTTTGGTGACTGAGTGAGTAAAGGAATGAAAGAGTGCATGGATGGAGTCCCCCTTGAGACAAGTCCTCTAACAGCTTCATTATTTGGAAAGTCCCCTGACCCACACTGCCCCCTGGGCTCCTTCACTCAGTGGTAGTGGCTACATGCGACATCTGATTGCTCTGCTGTCTACAGGTGGTGACCTGGCCTCGGTCGACCCCATGGTGCTTGAGCAATATGTGGTGGTTGCAGACTATCAGAAGCAAGAGAGCTCGGAGATCAGCCTCAGCGTGGGACAGGTCGTAGACATCATCGAGAAGAATGAGTCAGGTAGGATTCTAGACCACCTCCTCCACCCTACACTCTCTCCAGGGCACTCTCACCAGAAGCATACGGGAACTCAAAAGCAAGTAAGCAGCCCAAACTGGGCAGTCTCCTCCAATCTGACTGAGGCCTCTGATCTGCCCCAGTTTGATCACAAGGCTCAAATATCCACTTGGTCATAGCTCACCAGCATCCCAATCAAATGTTACCAATTTGTCCTCAGATTCGCATTCCTTCTGGTTCACAAACACTTGGAGAGAGAGGCAAGCAGTCCCATTGGAAATTTGCTTGTAGCTGGCCTCTAGTTTCCTGTAGGGGCCTCCCAAAGGCTCAGCAGCTCTGGGGTGTGGTTCAGTAGACACACTGCCTGCCATCACTCCCCACCCCTGCCTAGCACATGGACCACTGGTCACAACATTAGTGGAAGGAGTCTGGTATGATTGAGACACTTAACCTGGATTTCCACCTGAACTCCGTGCTGTGTAGTGGTCCAGGTCACTTTGTCTGCTTGATCATCAGTTTTCACATCTATAGAATACAAAAACCTGCTCCAAAGGGCATTGCTGGAATTAAATGAGATAATGTAAGGAAGAGCCTGAACCAGTGCTTGGCACCCAGTAAGCACTCTAAAATTACATTTCCTGCACAGCAGGGAGCAGGGAGTGAGCAGCTCCTCTGTCTCCTGCTAGGTTCCTTGTGGCTAAAATGTGGCATTGACTAATAATGCCACTGGACACCAAGCTCTGATACCCCAATGGTTAGTAGTTAAGGTCTAAAGAACAGGAGAAATTGATGTTTCCAGCATCCTATTATCACTAGCCTGTTATCCTGAATCATGTTATCGTTAGTCATACTAATCACAAGACCACTATGAGCCAAGCAGACCTCCTGAACTATGCAGTCTAAAAACTGTCCATGTTCAAAGAAAGAGGGAAAGACGATGTTTGTGTTATCCTCTGAATCACATTGCCGTTAGTCATGAGATCTGTGTTAGTCAACCAAATCTCAGTTGTGCAATATAGGAACTATTATCTCCAAAGATCTAGAGGGAAATCCTACCCCTACTTAATCTCAGTGTGTCTTCCTGTATACTCAACACAGGGCACTTCTGTGATCTCAAATGTGTGGAGATTTCTCCCACCAGCAAGCAAGCAATCAGCTCTTCACCAGACACCAGATGGGAGTCTTCTGTCTAATCTAGTGCAGTTCGTATGCTCTTTACCTAGAGATAGTGTCAGATCCCACAGGTCAAAAAATCAGTCCCTTACCACTTGCAGCGCTAGTCACAAGCCTTAGGTCTTTCTACCTGTGCTTTGGACCAACCAGCTATAAATCAGGATGTCCACAGCTGCCTCCTTGGGTCCCATTAATTTGCTCGAGCAGCTCACAATGCTCAGGGGTACATGCTTACCGGTTTATTGTAAAGGCTGTTACCAAGGATGCAGATGAAAAGATGCATGGGGCAAGCAGTAGGGGAAGAATGCGGAGCTCGTGTGCCCTCTCCAAGAGCCTCCAGTGTTCAGCTGTCCAGAAGCTTTCATAACCCTGCCCACACAGGCATGATCGAAACATGGACAGTTGTATAGAAGTGTGATTGGACAAAAGGGTCCAACCTGATGCTAATAGATGGGGTGAGGAGACCCCACAAGGCCTATCTGTGCAGATTCTTGGCCTCTTTGCAGCCTTCCTTCCTCCCACGTAGGAGGCAGGCCCCTTCTGAAATGGGGTCTTATGACCCACCATCAAAGTATATCAGAGAGTTTATGGCCAGCAGCTCCACAGCAGGAACGATTAGAGTATATTTTTAGTTTCCAACACCTGCCTTGGGGAAGAGAAGTCCTGGTCCCTGTGATCTGCCTTGGGGCGAAAAAGGAGCAGGTGGAAAGATAGAGTCAGAGAGACACACTGCTTTCTGAGCCCTTCTTCTAGACCTAACATGTCCCAGCCTTAGCCAGACTCAGGAAATAACGAAAGCTGTAAGAGTAATGAGCCAGGAACCACAGTTGCACACTAAAAAATACGTCATCCCACATTATCCCTGCTTCGTGGATTTGTCACTCATGCCGGACCTTACAGCTGCTGCTAGAGTTCAAATACCACTGCAGCTGACCCTAAGGCCAGATGACTTTGTGATTCCTGAGGATAGATAGATGCAGGCTGAGGATGCCACATGGGGACATCAGAAAGGAAGAATGCATCCCACAGGACCGCCTACTTGAGTAAAGCGAGGAAAAAGCACAGGCTACTGGGAGGAGGCATATGAGTCAGGAGGACAGCCAACAAAAATAGATGTACATGTCCACAAGGAGCTAACACATTGGTGACATCTATTTTTAATTATACAATTGTCCCTCCATATGCATGGGGGATTGATCAGAGGACCTCCACAGATACCAAAATTCATGGATACTTTAATCCCTCGTGTAAAATGGCACAGTACTTGCAAATAACCTACAGATATCCACCCGTATACTTCACATCATCTCTAGAGGCCTTCTAACACCTAATCGGTGTGAATACCTTGTCAATCGTTGTCATACTGTATTATTTAGGGAGTAATGGTTAGAAAAGAGTGTGTGTTCAGTACAGATGTAATGTTTTTTCAAATGGTGGTTGGTTGAATTTTCAAATATTTCCAATGTGGAGACGTGGAATCAACAGATTTGGAGGGCCCGCTGTATTTGCAGGTTCTGGGGATTAGGGCTAGGAGATCTTGGGAGGGCATTATGTTACCTACCATAGACATCACCCACACAAGCTCTTCTCTTTAAGCAGTGCCTGGGCATGGGAGTGAAGCCTCTCAAGCAGTCACATCCACAGCCAGATTTCCCTTGATGCACACAGAGGCAAAAGGGGTGTCCCAGAGAAGCTGTTAGGGCAGTGCCTTCAGTGTTAAACAGCCCTGGCACAAACCACTGCTCTGCCACAGGCTTAGTGAAAATCAATGAGTCTGTTTGCTCTTGGAGCCTCAGTTTCTTCATGTGTACAATGGGGATAATGTGAAGATTACTTAAAGTAATCTTACTTAAAGTACTATAAAGTAATAAGGTGAATATAAGTGATATAAGTAAAGCTGTCAGTGCATCACATGCCAATCTTAGAATGCTGAATGTTTTATCACTTAGGATGACCCTTTTCTCCCCTGTCCCAGGCTCAGGAGCAAGTTTCTTATTGGCCTGTTCTAAATATTAACAACTAGCATTGATAGTTGTGTTCCAGCAGTAAGATGGTAGTGTATTAGCCTTACTTTAAGCATTAACTGATAGAGCAGCTGAATGTGCAGTTGGCTTTCTGTGTCTGTGGATTCCACATCCTCAGATAGAACCAACCATGAGTAGAAAATATTCAAGAAGAAATCCTGAATCTGTACTAAACATGTACAGATTTTTTTTCCATGCCACTATTCTCTAAACAATAAAACACAACTATTTACATAGTATTCACATTGTTTCAGGTATTATAAATCAAGTAGAGATGGTTTAAAGTCTGTGGAAGGATATGTATAGGTCATATGCAAACACTGCACCATGGTTTGTTTTTTTTAATAAAAAACATGAGCATCCACAGATTTTGCTTCCCACCAGACTCCTAGGGACCAGTCCCCATGCATACCAAGGGATAACTGTGTCGTTGTACTCTGACTGCTTGGCCCCACTAACATCACTCTGCATTCTTACTTCCCCAGGTTGGTGGTTCGTCAGCACCGCAGAGGAGCAAGGCTGGGTCCCTGCGACCTGCCTCGAAGGGCAGGATGGTGTTCAGGATGAATTTTCCCTACAGCCTGAAGAAGGTAGGCAGGAATCCCTGCCCCCTGCTGGGGAGCCCAAGGGCCACATTGCATTGCCTCCTTGCTTAGTCCCTTCCTCTTAGCCTCTGCTCAGGGTGTCAGCACCTCACTGGCGCACAGACTATGAACAGGATAGGGTAGAAGGACAAGCCCGCGCCCCGCACACACACCGCCTTCCTTTGGGGCTTTGGGAGCCACCCAACATGAGCCTGGCCATAGCTGTTCCCCTCACACCCTCTTAGAATGCCAGGAGGGCTCAGCATGATCACTGTTCATCCCTAGGATTATTCTGGTGGCCCAGAAAGAACTGCTGGACCATGTGCAAGATCTTCAACCCCCATGTTTTTAAAGATATCTGCTCTCTGTTGATGTAAATGGCCCCAAATGTGTGTCCCTCTTCTACAGTGTCCTTAATGATGATGACAGCAATACCAACACCTGCCCACTCCCTTCCTCCCTAGATGCTTCCTGAAACCGAAGCATGTGTTCACCTTCATTAGCATACAGGTGTTTTGGAGGCAGGTAGACTTCAGCTGTGCCACATTCTGACTAAAGGATTTTGGGCCAGTAACGTGCCTCTCTAAAATGCAGCCTCCGTGCCTGAAAATGGAAATGATGATATTTATATCATGGGAGTTTTAAAAAGTTAAATGAGTTTCTCCATGCAGAGAACTTAGAGTAATAAACAGTAAGTTATCAGATAAGCTATACTTAACCTAGGACTGAGTGCTGGCCTGGAGCAGATTGTTGAAACACAGAGCTACTTTAAGTGCCTGTGTATCCAAAACAGGGTGAGAGATGGGCGTGTACACCTATAATCGCAGCTCTCTGGAGTCTGAGTCAAGAGGAGTGAGAGTTCAAGGTCAGCCTGGACTACTTTGTAAGATCCTGTCTCAGAAAAAACATAAATAAAATAAGTATAGGAGATATTTCTAAATATAAGGACTAGCACACACAAAAAAATTGTACGTGGTTTTTGCACTTAATTGTATTGCAGAGTTGGTTTGCGGTCTTGAGGGCCTTCCGGGCACTGAGGCCAGGCTAACACAGGGACACCACAAAAAGCAGCTCACATCAGAGGCAGGTGGCGTATGACATGGGAACGGCTCCCTTACACAGTCAGTACACGATGACCACCGTGGGCGCGCTCTTTAAGGAAATGGTTGCTATCGCCGTTTATCCCAAATAGACTCAGAAAAGTAGAATGATTTTCCCAGCATCACACAGCAGGAAGTTGGGAGAGAAACCTTTTCTTAAGGGTTTGGACGTTCTTCTTCCCTGTACTATGAAGGTTTTTCTTAATGCTTTTTTCTAATCATGCTAGGAATACAGTAGTATCTGTTGGATGCCACTGATTCAAGTTCTGGGTTAACACTCAGGCACTTGGCCTTCCTAAGATATCTGGGCTCAGAATAGACTCAGAAGGAATGGTCTTCCAGGGCGCGCAGTGTCTCAAGGGAGTCTGCTAGGAGTGCTCCCTTCTTACCTCTGCCTTCTGCCCTCCCCTCCACATGCTGCCTGTCCAGTCTCGTGGAGGTACTGGTCTTTGCCCCGGCCTGCAGGTCGCCGCCAGACTCTGGGGGACTTGTATGCCATCAGCTGGCGCCAAGGTGCCTTCCTCAGAGTTTACTTTCCATTTGCTGTTGAGAGTGGGTCCCTGCATCTGCATGAGCCTCCTCCTCTGGGACTTCACTGCCTGCTGCATGTGAGAATCAGTGACTTGTCGGTATTGTGTGTGTGTGGCATGTGGGCTGGTGGGGAGCGAGCCTGCGGTGTTTGTCAGCCTCAGGGCTCTGAAGTTTCCCAGCTCACAAAAAAGGTGCCTGAGGTCTTCTGTGGCGTAGAACCAGGGACCTTGTCCTTCCATCAGGCTCATTGAGCTCTAAGGGGAGAAAGCTTACCTCAGCCAGGTTAAGCACAGGAGGAGGTGCACTGACTCCTATCACTGAAAAGCCCATGGTAGAGATGTGAGGATGTCATCAGGACTACTATCATCACCTCTCCACTCCATCTCCTGCTTTGTTGGCACCATTATCGCCTAGTGACAACAGTTCCCAGGCACTTTCCATGGACATCCAGCAAAGAGACAACTTCAGTACAAGCCCCAGGATCGGTTCTGACTGACCCACCCAGGTCTCATGGCATCCCTGAACCAATTATAGTGGCCGGATTTTCAGCACTGTGGCTGGGCCAGAATAATACCCCTGCCCCCTCCCTCCTGACACCTCCCTTCAGGAAGGAGGGGCTCACTCTCCCCTAGCCACACTGATAGAGCCTGGTAGGACCTCTAGTGGGTAGGCAGGTGGCAGCCAGGCAGGCAGATTGGCAGGCGCCCATGATGCAGTCTTTAAGGCTTCCATCCTGAGCTTAGGCTAGGTCGCTGAGCAGCCCTCAGACCCCAGACAGAGCCTCTTGGGTACTAGGGAATATCTGGGGCGCATAGGAGTACAGGGCCTGTAGGACTGTCTGTACTTAGACTGGGATCCAAGCAGCACCCCTTCCTACCTAGACCAAACAACTTCTGTACATCCACAGGGTTGAACTACCGTTTTCATGGGTCACAGCCCAGCACCCCACCCCACAGCTTCCGTGAGGAAGGAACAGCTGACTCCACTGAACACAGGATATGTGCCTCGAGTCAGCACTGCCCCCACAGAGCAGGTCAGCAGGCCAGATCAATAAATAAATAAACGCCCTGGGTGCTTCCACCTCCCTCTGCAGCAGCTGGCAGGCCACAGAGTCCACAGAGTATTTGCCCAAAGAGTCTGCACCAACATTCTAACTGGGCACCAGACCGCAGCTGCCTTGAGCTCACCCAGGAGCTGAAATGGAGCAGAGCAGAGCAGCCCGCTCCTCTTCTTGCTGAGATCCCTGGGATACGCATCTGTTTTTCTCCAGTTCAGCAGCCAGAGCTGATGCCATTGAGGGTAGGAGCTGTTCCCTTGCCTGCGTGGCCATGAGCAGCCCGCCCTGCGAGCTCCCGCCCCTGAGAAACTATGGGAAGACACCACTGGGGGCAGCGCTTGGAGAGGCACATGGAGCCGTAAGGATAGCCCCATGGCTTCTGGGCCAGGGAGATCCCAGGGAGTGGAGTGGAAGGCACCCCACTCACACTGAGAAGTGAAACCTCAAGCATGTCTGGATCCAGGGGCTTCGATCAGTTACCAGCTAGGCAGTGAGAATTGCTGCTGTCGCCTTGGTGATGATTTCAGCTTGAAATCATCCACTGCCAATAGTCAGTTTATCTCTGAACTCTGAGTCTCTGCCAGGGAGAACTGGCAAGGAGCCCCAAAGAGTTTAACCCCTCTGAGTGAGCAAGCTGACTCCCCCCAGGCCTTCGGGACTTGTTCCTTTACTGAACAGAGACTAATTCTCCAGTTACTAAATCTTCCAGGCACATGCCCGGTGCTAGACATAGAGGAATGAAAGGGACAGACAAATTCCTGTCTTCATGGAGCTCATATTCTACCAGAGGAAGCAGGCATGAAACACAATAAACAAGGAAATGTTATGTTGTGCTAGAAGGTAGTCCCCCGAGTGGCATGGGTGAGTATTTAACCTGAATAAGGGGGATAAGGTCCCTGTGAGTCCGGCTATTGCATAAGGTGGTCAAGGATAGCAAAGTTGAAGCTCCAGCTTGAGGGAAGTAGGGGTGATGTGATACAAGGTGTTCCAGAGGTGCTGGGACCGCCCTTTATCCCGTATCCTATTGCTGCTGACGCAAAGTGCTCCAGAGCTATGTAGGGACCAGGGGGTGGGGTGCATGGGACTCTGTGGAGGAGATCTCCCCTCCTCATCACACAGATCACAACAAGCATCCTGGGACTCTTCACATCTGTTTCTCATCCCAGCACTCTTTGTCCCTGCAGAGGAGAAGTACACAGTCATCTACCCATACACGGCTCGGGACCAGGATGAAATGAACCTGGAGAGAGGGGCCATAGTGGAGGTCATCCAGAAAAACCTGGAAGGCTGGTGGAAGATCAGGTAATCACTGCAGCCTCCTGCAGCTATAGCTGGGTGAGTTTCAGTTCATACAGGCTCCAGCTTCACAGAGGTCTGTAAGGGACAGCATATGGATGAGGTTTCTCTGCCTGTGCCATAAAAGATACTTCTCCTCTGTGTTGTTTGGCTTCCCTTCCTACCCACGGCCCTCTCTAAAAGTCCATAATAAGCAAAACCTTCTCCAAACACCGAAGCATAGACAGCAGGAGCCCTGTTAAGCAAGACTGGTCTCATGTTTTCTTCCAGATGTGTCTTGGGATGAGTAACTCAGGGTTGAGGCTGCCCCATGGAGTAATGACGCACTGTGACCTTATCAGAGACTGGTGTGATTCTCACACACCATCCCGAGGCTGCTCATTTCCCCAGTATGACAAAGCACCTAGCAAGGCACGGTAGTTTACACCACACATGCAAAAGTCAGACTCGGGATCCACTACAGAGTAGGGTGGGGAGAGATGCAGTGTGTTGGAGGGATGCACGGGGAACTTGAGGGCACAAAGAGAAGCTCTGGGGGTCAGGAAGGCTTCCAGGGCTGGGCGCCTCAGATCAGAAATCTGAAGGAATGATACTCATTGCTAGGGAACCTGTATTGAACCCATACAGTCATGGGTCAGTGATGTCCTTTCAGGTAATGACAGGAGACATGTGCTGTGGTGCTCCCATAAAACTACATGGAGCTTGAAAATTCTAGGCCCTAGTGACATCGTGGCTGTTGTAGCACAGCACATTGCTCGTTTGCTTGCGGTGATGCTCGTATGAACAGACCTACTGTGCTGCCAATCGTGTAACAGTAGTGTAAGCCAGGTGTGGTGGCACATGCCTGTTCCAGCACTCTAGGAGGCTGAGGCAGGAGGAATGCAAGTTTGAACCAGCCTATGCAACTTGACAGCTTAACAAGATCTTTTGGCAAAATAAAAATGAGTTGGAGGATGTAGCTCAGTGCAGAGGACTTGGACTTGGTCACCCTCTGAAAAAGTGTCTGTAAAACAGTGTGCCCTGTCTTGTTGGCAGCAACCTCATATACCCAGTATTCATACTACTTGATTCCGTTGTTTCATTGTATGGTTGATTTAGTTTTGTATGTGCTGTGTATGTACATGTGTGTCACACACAGCTTGGGTGCATCGTCAGCTGTGTCACCTAGGTTTGTGTAAGCACACTCTGATACTTGCGCAATGATGCAGTTGCCTAACAGTGCACCTTCAGAAAGCATTCCATTGTGAAGTAACGCATGATTGTTCTGTTGTCTTGCTGCGTAACAAATTGTTCAGGAGCTTGGCAACGCTGGAGTTCAGGTGGCTTGATGGGACTCAGGATTTCTCATGAGGTCGTGGTCAGGGTGTCAGTGGTGACTGCGCTCAGTTGAAGGTTCAGTGGAAGTTGCAGAGTTGAACCTACACCTTCTTCACCCCCGAGCCCACCCACTGTCTACCGTGTGTCCTCAGACAGTAGCCAGTCTCACACTGAGAGTGTGGACAGTGTAGAGCCTGACATACTCCAATGAGGACAAAATTCATTCCCTCATGAAGGATATTTAAGATTGGTAGACACTAACTTATAAATTTGCCTTCAGTTGTAAAGGACCTGTTTTTCATTGAAACTGGAGTCTATTTAGCACTTAACGTGATTTTCTGTAAAAGATTTGGCCCTGGCGTGTGCTGTCTCCAGTGAGTTCTATTCAACTTTCCCCAAAGGTGTGAGCACCTGTTTTGTGCGGTGCTGGCAAATGTTTAACAACCAGCTTTCAGGGAGAAGGATGTTCTGACTTGTGATCTTTGCCAGCTTTCCTGGTCTAAACACTTCCACTAGGGGCAGTTTCACGCTATCAGTATGATGTCACTAAACACAGAGTTCAAAAGATGTACCCTGTGGACCGTCACCAGCCAGTGCAGGTTAGCTCCAGCACACCTCTCTAGTCCAGACCCCTCTGGTCACTGAGTTCTGTTGTGCAGAAAATTAAGCGATGGTTACACTCACTGATTTCTGTTTTGGAGGACAGTGAGCTGGTCTGGTAGCATCCTGGTCATTTCACAGTTCAGTGACAGCCAGCCCTGGGCCTGCTTCACTGCTATGTGATGAGTGTTTAATTTTAACCAGCGCCCATGGAGCCAGCCCTGCTAGTGCCAAGCTTTCCACCAGGAGCTGGGGCTGTTGGGATGAAGCAGCGAATACAGGGTCACTTGGTCTGAGTCCATTTTGCCAGAGACTTGCTTTTAATCTTGGGCAAGGTTCTTGACATCTCTTTGTCTCGGTCTTCTTGTCTTTAAAAGATCACCATAAGGGTTGTGTCCCTATCTGAAGTGCTTGGAACCAGGAGTGTTTTCGATTTTGAGGTGCGAAGGGCCAGTGCATGCCAGGCTGTGCGAGCAGAGCTCCTCACACGTTATTCCTCTTCAGATTGTGAATATTTGCTTACACGTAATGAGAAATCTTGGGGATAGAACCCAAGCTAGACACAAAATTCATTTACTTTGCATACACACCTTATAGGCTGAAAGTAATTTTATGCAGTATTTTTAACACTTGTGTTATTCACGCAGCCTGTCACATGAGGTCAGGTGTGGAATTTCTCATCATTTGTTGTTCAAAAAGGTTCAGATGTTGAAGCATTTTGGATTTCAGATTCTCAGATTAGGGTTGCTCAACCCACAGGGCCTGCCTCCCAGGTCCAGGTTTGGCTGCGTTAACACCGGTAACTGTGAAGTGCCCAGCGCAGAACCAGCGCAGAGCGAGTGCCCACCATGTGCTGGTTTCCATTGTCATCACTGTTGCCATCACCACAGTGACTCTAGGGCAACAGCACTGTGAGCTTTGCAACCGCTCACTCTCTGCCACTCCCATTGGCAGCTTGTTCCCTTGGACTTTTATTCTTTGTTCAGCTCACTGGCACCAAGGCCACTGACACAGAGATGTGCCAGCCGCTTTCCTTAACCCCAGGCACTCACTTTCTAGCTGGTGGACACGACGGCCACCGGCAGGTGTCATCTTGTATTGGAGGTGCTGGCGCTGCAGTGTGCACAGGAGATGCGGGGGTGCCGTGGAGGTCAGAAGAGGCTGGAGGCAGGAATGACATTGAGCAGAGCCAAGGAAGAGAGCAGGTGCTCACCAGGAAGGAAGGGAAGGATCACCAGGAGCAGGGAGACAATAGGGGTGAATGGTGATGGTGCACTTGAGGGACCGGGAGCTGGATCGGGTGGCTGGGATGTCATGGTTGATATGAGAGAGGCAAACAGAGACCAGGTTTGAAAAGCCTAGAGTGCCGTGCTGGGGGCTCAGCCATCATCAGAAGGCAGTGAGCTGTGTACCAGACTCTGTTCCTGGGTGGTTCGGCCCCCCTGCTCCTGCTGTCTGGGACCTAAAGTAGGATTCTTGGTAGAAGCGTGGTTTCCTCCCATGAGCCTAGCAGACCTCTGTGACCAGCATGCTTCCTCTTCCCAGGTACCAGGGCAAAGAAGGCTGGGCCCCTGCCTCCTACCTAAAGAAGAGCAGCGGGGAGCCCTTACCCCCGAAGCTGGGCCCTGGCTTATCTGCCCACTCGGGTGCCCTTGACCTGGATGGTGTTGCCCGGCAGCAGAATGCAGTGGGCAGGGAGAAGGAGCTGCTCAACAACCAAAGGGACGGCCGGTTTGAAGGCCGCGCAGTGCACGATGGTGACATTAAACAAAGTAAGTGACATCTGTCCAAGCTGCTGATGGCCGAAGGCCCAGTGCATGCCAGGCTGTGTGAGCAGAGCTCCTCACATTGTTCCACTTCCTTGCATCGGCCCTGCTGCCTGCCCTCGCATAGATAGAGGCTTCGATCCCCGGGGTTACTTAGCCCACACTGTTCAGCCAGCAAGATAGAGAACGTGAGTCTACGCACTGCTTCCCTTCCCTAGATTGAGTTTGTTCTCTTGTCATGATGGAAAGGCACCTACTGTGTGCCAAGAATCTTCTCATTAGTCTCACTGACTCATAGCAAGCTTTGAGGGACCTTATTGCTTCGGAGGTACGGGTGAGGTGGTAAGTCCAGGGCCACCCAGCTGGTAAATGGTGGGGCCAGGAGTTGAGCCCAGGCAGTACCTGCACCCTGTCCACTCTCACACATGGCCTCATTTCTGAGCCGAGGGAAGACAAACTTGACCCTATATTGGTAGTTCTTTTCATCTCGCTTTCCAAAGCCTCTTTGTATGCATTTTATCACTTTATCACTGTTCCGCACACACCTGTGAGCTGTTATTATCTGCATTGTACCCCAGGCACTGGCCTCAGGCACAGGGCCCTTGATCCCCACCTGGTCATGTGAGGCAGGAGGAATCAGTTTGTTGCAAAAGGATTCCAACTCCCAAAAGAGAGATGGTCACTGCCCATGGCTGGGCTTCTCCTAGCTGTTTTTTGCCAGGTGGCAGTGAAGTTCTTGAGTCATTAAAGCCTCATATTCTCTGCTTAGTTCCCCTGAGAAAACACTGATGCTATTTTCCCATAAATCACACCACGGGTTTTGGCTAGTCCCCAAGGGTCTTTAATTCTAACCTACTGTAGTCAAGAGCATCGGAGGATTCCTGTTAACACAAGAGAATCAAATGAAAAGTTCACGTACTAAAACACATACTTCCTCCCCCAACACATGTGCATATGCCCCAATAACTGCTTCAGATGATCTACATATTTGTTTCAGTTTCATAAAACTGCCCATTGTATGTTCAGAGCTGATACAACTTGCAGTCAAGGTCTTGACACTTTGTGTCTTTCTTGTGTTGCCTTCACCTGCCTATTCACTACGCCTCACCACTGGCCCAGACAGTGTAACTCGGACAGGAAAAGGCAGTGGAGTCCACATCTCCGAAGCTGCATGTTTTCTTTCTCTGGCATTACATTGCACATAGCAGTACTTAGCTGTAAGAACATCTGGGAAATGTAGTGTCTGTATGGGCAGCCAAGTATCCTGGCCCAAATTCCTTTGCTGTTTATTTTAATAGTAGACAAGAAATTGGCATTTGAAGGATTGCCGGTCTCCTCTACAACCTAGCTTCCAAGTTAGCCTGTGGTAGGGCCAGAGATATAGCTCAGAGGCATAAGCACCTACCTGGCAAGCCCAAGGTCCTGAGTTCAATTCTCGGTACAAAACAAAAAAAAAAAAACAAGTTAGCCTGTGGTTAGGACCCATGTGGTGTGGACCCGTGGTAACCCAGTTCTAGCAGTATGTAGATAACCTAGTCAGCATTCCTCCTTTAGCCAGGAGCCTTGGGCTACTCAAAGCCATCCTTCCCTGTCTCTGAGACCCACAGCTAGGGCAGCCCAACTCCAGAGGAAAAATCCCTGAAGTTGCCAGCCTATGTCTGTTTGATCCCATGTGTTTATGTGTTGTTTAGTTGGAGCTTGTTCTTGAGCGCAAAACCAGGCACAGTAAAATGTATTGCATGCCTGTGACTTGCTGAGAACTTCACACCTGCCATCCCTCTCCACAGAAGAGGGCCTTGTGCCTCACAGTCATCTGATCGATTTGTCCTCTGCCAGAAGTCTGGAGCCTCGGAGTTGGGTTGGGGTCCATTTCTGTGTGATTCTGAAACCTATGCCTTTTGTCCTTACGAGAAAGCTTTCCCTCGCTCGAGGACTGGGCACCATCCTCTTTGTGCCTGCATAGGAAAGATTGAGAGCAGGTCCTAAGCCAAGCGCGCACAGCTCCTTCCTGCCCAGACTTTGCTTGTAGGAAAGGCTACAGCGGTGAGCTGTCTCCTGGGCAGAGGTTCTGCCCCATCCTCTGTGGGAGAGGCAAGGCTTTTCCTGGCATATGTCCACATCGGGAATTTTATGTGTAGAACTCTGCATATGAATGAAATAAATCTCTTTTCTCTATAGGATCACCCAAGATGAGGCAGAGACCCCCTCCGCGCCGGGATATGACCATTGTAAGTGGACCCTTACCACTGGCGAGCTGGCCCCTGACCTGAGCACTATCAGGAATGCCCACTGGCCCCCAAGTGCCCTTGACCTTTCCAAAGATGCTCTTTCCTGTTCATGCAGCATCCTTGTGATGCCGGCTGTATGACAGCCAGTCCCATTAACGGGGACACACGGGTCTAGGCTGGTGAAATGCCTTACTCACATCCCAGAGAGTATTTGTGGTATTTAGGCCTCGTGACCTCTCTCTGCTTCCTGAGCCCACTTCTCTTAGATCAGTTTTCTCAAGTAAGATGCCCCAATGTGCAAGTTTGGATGAGACACAAATATCATTTATGGTGTCATTTATACTATCCTCCCTTTTTAAATTCTCTAGGCACCTTTGTAACCAACATAGGTCAAGCATCTCTAATCCAAAATTCCAAAATCTAAAATGCTCCAAAATCCAAAGCTTTCTGAGCAACATTGAGACACCATAAATGGAAAATTCACACCTGACCTCAAGTGACAGGTTGCACGCTATGTATATGTGGAATATAAATGAATTTCATGCTTAAACTGGGGACCCATCCCCAAGATATCTCAATATGTGTATATACAGCTATGTAAAATCCCAACACTTCTGGTCCAAAGTACTTCAGATAAAGGTTATTCAACCTCTACTTGAAAAAACAGGACTTTTTTTCTTTTCTTTACTTTTTTTTCTTTTTTTTTTTTTTGTCTGCTATTTATTGAGCACCTGTTAGGTGCCATGCAGTGTGCACCAGGTGCCCTGCATTAACGTATTTAATACTTGTTATGAGCCAGACACGGTGGCACACACCTATAATCCCACCACTCGGGAGGCTGAGGCAGGAAGATTGTCATGAGTTTGAGGACAGCCTGGGCTATATAGTGAGCTCAAGGCCAGCCTAAACTATACAGTGAGACCCTGTCTCAAAAAAAAAAAAAAAATACTTGCAGCAAGCACACTGGCTTGATACTGTTGTCGCACCCATTCTATAGGAGATAAAACTCAGCTCTTGAGAGGGAGGTGATTTGTCCCAGGTCACGCCATCTCTATATTTCCAGTCAGATAGATGTGATACACAAATCAGTGTTATTTCCACATCCCTAACTGCCCCTTAAATTCAGACATTAAAGTCCTGCCCTGTATTTTCAAAATGCAGCCAATTATCCCATGTTTCTCATCTCTAAAGTTGAAGGATATCTTCTAGAAGGTGATGGTCAGGTCCTCTTTGTTTTTAACTGGTAGAGTCTAAATAGGCCCACCAGCACCCTCTCTGTGGTGATTGTATGCCACAGTCCCCTGACTCACATCCCGGTAATGGTTAGCCCTGGTTTTAATTACCCCAGCCTCGAGGTCTCAACCTGCCGAAGCCTCCCGTCCCGCCGCAGGTAGAGGAAGAGTATTACACCATCGCTGAGTTCCAGACCACCATCCCGGATGGCATCAGCTTCCAGGCCGGCCTGAAGGTTGAGGTGAGCGCGTGTGCTATCCCCGTCTGCTTGTCATTCCCGATGACAGGCATCACCCCTCTCCTCTCACCTACTGCATTTGAAAGCGAGGGTGGGGAGAAGTCAACAGCTTTACTGAGATGCAGTTCACATAACAAGCAGTTTTATCCATTCAAAGTATAAAATAGTTCAGTGGTTTCTTATATTCATAGAGTTGCACAACCAGTACAACTGTCTAATTCCAGAACAAAAGAAACCCCTGACCCACTAGCAGTCCCTCCCATTTCCCCTCAGCCCTGCTCCAAACCCTTCTGCCCCTCTAGATTTGCCCACTTGGGACTTGGGATATAAGCGGAATTATACACTGTGTGGTTCTTTGAGATTGGACTCTATCCTTTTTTTTTTTTTTAATCACCTCCTCCCTCCTATCTTTCTTCTTTTCTTCCCGTTCCCTCTGCTTATCTGCTGTGATCCCTGGATTAGGCTCAACATAAATCCTTGTTCCTCCTGCATTTCTCTTTTCTGTTTTCATGAGGTTAAAGCTGTTAGGTGTTTCCCATGCTCTCAAGAAAGCCTGTACGTAATTGGATGCCCACAGGGACTGGGGATTAGAAACCTTTGGAGAAGGTGGCTCTTGCATTTGCAGAGCAGGTGAGCCAGTCATGGATGCCCCACCTCTACCGTATCGTGTGTGCAGGAACCAGACGCTGCCTACCATCCGGGGAGCCAAAGACTTAATGTGTTCCTCTCTGCAGCAAATACAGTCTGCCCTCCATGTCTTCAGGTTTTGCATCTGGGGACCCAACTAACCACAGATAGAAGATATTTGAGAAAAAACTGTATACTGAATATACCAGATACAGCAACTGTTTACATAGCATTTGTACTGTCTTAGGTATTACAGTGTAAGTAAGCCAGAGATGATGTAAAGTAGCAGGAGGTTGTATGTAGGTTATATGTAAATATGACACAATTTTAGAGACTTGAGCATCCATGGATTCTGGTATCCATGGGGTTCTAGAACCAGTTCCCCACAGATACCAAGGGATGACAGTATTCATGGAGTGCCTACTGTGGATATGTGTGCAAGGTGCTGTTTTTAGACTCTGAAGAGCACTTAGCTAACATGCACAAGCCATGGCCCTATCCTCTCCTCTGTCTTCTAAAGAACACAGTTCCAGTGCGTGACAGCGTAGGACCATGGGTACCACTGATCCACCCACCCAGAACACTTCCTTGGGGGTCCTTTTTCCCCTCCCCTCCCCTCCTTTCCGTCCCTTTCCTTCCCCTCCCCTTCTCCTAGATTGCTAGTGGCACCAGCCCATACTGTATCTAGCCTGGACTTCCTGTACACAGCACCCAAAAAGTTAACTTGGCATCCTCTGGCCACAGGGTGCTCAGAGCCCATGAACTCTCCTCTGACTCTGCTTCCAGTAGCATTAAGAAGGATCCAGCAGCAGAAGAAGGATCAGCTGCCAGACAGACAAAACAGAAGTCCCTGGGTCCTAATATTTTACCTCCTTTACTGTGCACCCTCCCACCCCTCCTTTCAGCTCTACTTGATAGCATCAAGTGTACTGCCCCATTCTATGGGTGAGGAAACAGACAAAAATAAAGGTACAATAGCTGTATGCCCAGAAGTTTTCATTTGTAGAGCTGGTGGTAGAATTCATGCTTCTAGGTTCTAGTGTCAGATTCAGATCCACTCTTAGGCAGGTTTTCTATCATGGTAAAAGTCCAGCTGTTTGCAAGACTTGCTTCCAATTCAGCAGACCCCCATCACCACTCTGCGGTGCCTTTCGCAGTCACCTTGCAACTAGTACTTTCTTCCTCTTCTGGCTTCCCAGAGCCTCAAACTCCAACTTCAGGGCCTTAATTTGTTGATTGGGTAGGGAAGTGGTTACATAGGTGGGTGGGTGGTTTATTGTCTATCTAGAATATAAACTCTTTGGGACTAGAAATTTTGTCTCTGTTTTTCACAGTAGTAGCTCTAGCACCAAGCCTGGCTTATAGAAGATTCTTGGTAAACATTTGTGGAATTAATATGCTCATCTCACTGGGTTATGGGCCCCTGAGGACAGGAGCTGCTTAAGTAAAGTCGTACAGGAAGACATCCCACCCGCCTCCCAGCTGCTCCCTATCTGTGTCTAAACCCTGCTTCTCTGTCAGGTCTCAGTGCAAACTCATATTTGTGTAGCTTCCTTGGCTGGGGGGTTTCTTTTGGATTTATGTGTCTTCTAACAAGATGAGAATAAGAACCATAACGGTTCACATTTATTAAGCACTGTTTTCTATTTTCTGATGTTAATAACAAAATGTAGAATTTTCTACTTCTGGCATCATCTTGGCACTCAGAAAGTTTCATATTTTGGATGAAGCATTTTAGGTTTTGAGGTTTGGGATGTTCACACTGTACATCCTGATCTGAGGCGAAGCACATACGAGTTTCCTTTATATGTTCAGGAGTTGACCCTCCCACTGCTGCTCTTTAGCCTTATTTGCACTGCGTCCTGAGCCCACTGGTGAAGCTGACCCTTACTGACCTCTCCTACTCTCTCTGGCAGGAATGACCTTCCATTAACCCAGCTTCCAGTCTTCTCCTTGCCTACTCATAGAAGGTTCTCAAGGCTGTGTTTTGAACTAAACTTGACATAGCAAAATCAAACTCCAAATCCCTGCCTCCTCCAAGAAGCCTGCCCGGATTTGCACTGGCTTCCCTTTCCTCCCCTGCATTGGCTTCCATGGATTCATACTTAACTTTGTGTGCTTAAATAAGGAGAGCGTCCACTTTTATATACAATTTCTTGGCAATATGGAAATTAGTGTTATTCTCCCCTCTTCAATGACTGAGTTTTGAACACCAAGTTTAAAGTAATCTTTCCTCAGCACTTTGAATCTATTGTTCGAATCACTCTTTTTTTTGAGATTTTTGTTTTGTTTTCATTCTCTTCTTGCAGCTAGTTTGCTAGTAACACTGCTGTCCACCCGATTCTTATTCAGAGCATCATTTCTCAGATTCCCTCAGGAATAACTATTATCTTTAAAAGACTGAAATTTCACTAATGTGTGCCTGGGTATGCAGTGGTTTATTTTTATCCTGCTTAACAGGGGGTGGGCCTTTACAATCAAAGGACTCAGGAAGTTGTCCCAGAAACTTACCCACTTTTGCTTTTTTCATTCATTCATTTATCAGTGCTGGGGCTAGAACCCTCGGCCTTATGCTAGGCAAGTGCCATTTATCACTGGGCTAAACCTCCAGTCCCCACTTTGCTTCTATATATATTGACTACCTTCACTCTTCTTGGACTTTCCTTCTGGAACTACTATTAAGTTGATAGAGGAACTTCTGACTCTATTTTCCAATGTCTATTAATTTTTATGAACTGTTTTTGTATCATCTGCCTTCATCCTTTTGTGCTGTTTGGTGTTTGCTTGTTTTGCAGTGGGAATTGAACTCAGGACCTTCACCCTTCAACTGAGCTACATCCCCATACCATTTTATTTTTTATTTTGAGGCAGAATCTCACTTAGTCACTAGGGTTCCCACATGGACTTAAACTTTCAATCCTCCTGCCTCAGTCTTCCAGAGGGCTGGGATTACAGGCATGTGCCACCAGCCTGGCTTTTGTGCTGCATTCTTGAAACATTCTGTTCTTAGAGTTCATTAATTTGCTCTTCAACTATTCAGTCTGCTGCTTATTTTATTTCATCAATTATAATTTACATTTCTAAGAGCTCTTATTCTTTTCATAGTTACTTTTCTTGTTTCACTATGTCTTTTATGAACTTGACGCCCTCCTGTATTTCTCTAAGGATATTATTATCTCTCTTTCCTCATTTGTGAGTTCTTTGCAATGTTGTTGGTATTTATTTCAGTTCTTTCCGTGGTGTTAGTACTGTACAGGATAAGGCGTCAGATAGTCAAACAACCCCTGGAAGTACACATGAGGAACTGGTCACCTCTCTTTAGCTTCAGTACCTGTTCCAGCACTTCTGAGCCAGCCACTGAGTAGTGTCATCTGTCTGTAACCCAGGGTTGCAAATTAATTGTTTCTACCTGTAAGCAATCCCCTACTCCACTCCACTTGCCTTACCCTGGGGTAAAGGGCTGAGAGAGGGTCAGCGAGCCTGCTGCTTCTGCTGTTAACCAATTACTCCCCTGTCTGTGGCCCCTGAGTGCCCCTTCCCTAAGCTCTGGCATTCTGAAGTCTCCCATCTTTTGCATCAAAATTCCCACAGCAGTTCTGGGCTGCAGCCCCTCTGCCAGAAACAGTGAGGAATCACTATGAAGATGCCTCACATTCCTGGCCCACCAGCTTCTGCTCTTCCTCCTCCTGAGGTTGGCTTTGATTCATTAATTTCTTACCCTGGATTTGTTGCAGAAAGAGGAAACTGCTGTTCGCACAGTCTCCTGTTTTAAAACAAGAAGTGAAGTCCAAATTGTACCTTATAAAGGGGCTTCTTCCCAGAGAGCTGGAAACATTATAAAAGCTTCTTATTTAAGTCACAGCCTTAGCCAGGCACAGTAGTACACACCTACAACACCAGCTACTCAGGAAGCTGAGAGGCAGGAAGATCACAAGTTTGAGACCAGCCCAGGCAACTTAGTACCACCCTGTCTCAAAATAAATAATAAATAAAAAAACCTAGAGATGTAGCTCAGTGTTCCCTGGGTTCAGTTCCTAATACTGGGGGGGAAGAATTGTAGCCTTGAGGGCCTGGGGGTGTAGTTCAGTGGTAGAGCCCTTGCCTAGCATACAAAGGCTCAGGTTCCATCCCTAACACCACAAGAAAAAATAAAACAGCCTTTGACAGTGGGTTTCCAGCAGCTTCTACTAACAGACATCATTGTTTGAGCATGCTGGCAAACTGAACACTTGCCAATAAGCACTGCCACTTTCTGGCTCAGAATGTTCAGAAGTCTTCCCCAGCCCCTCAGGATGTCATGAACAGTATGCTGAAGTGCAGGCAGACACAGTAGGCCGCAGGGACTGCGGGAGTCCCTGGCACTTTCCAGAGGTGTTAAGGTGGCCCCTTCTGGGCCCACTGACACTTCACGGAGAACCATTCTCCTTGTTTCTTTCTGGCCTTTCTCCCTTGTTTTTGCTAAAGCTGATCCAGTGTAAAGCTCACATACCTGACTTTCTCTTCTTTACAGTTTTCTTCACTTTCTTTGCTTTACAGTTCTGTGATGTCAGCAGAGGCTCTGCCAGTAGGGACCTGAGGGACTTAATGAAGCAAATACTTGCCAACTGAAGTTTTTGGCTTAATTGTGTGTTCCTTCCTTTTAACAAATTCCATATGCTCTGTTTTCCCCTTCTCAGCTTTTCCTTCCTGGTTCATTTTGACATCATCTCAGTCTTCAGAGCTCACGAATGGAACCACAGCCTCCCAGCAGCGGGGCCACCAGGCACACCTTAATTTCTTATCTGGACTACTTACCTTTAAGACATGTTTTGTGATGATGGCAGTGGTGGTGGCAGTGGTGATGTTGACAATGATGTAGGCACCTCTTCTGTGCCAGGTTCCTCGCCTAATTGATAACTGACCTTCACAGAAATCCTGAGAGGTTGCTATTATTAGCTGTGTTATAGATGAGGTACTTGAGCCAGAAAGGTTGGATCAGTTACAGTGGTGCCTCGATTCATGAACTTAATTTGTTCTATGATTTTGGAAAAGATGGCCATGTTTGTGTTTGTGTGTCAAAGACAGCTGCAGTCATATTTGTCACCCAATGCAAACAAAAACAAAATTTTACCAAATGGTTCTGTTTGCAAACCAAACTGTTTTGGTAATTGCCCAGAGATACAGAGCTAGTAAGTGGTGGAGCTGGGATTTGAACTCAGGTCTCTCTGGTTTTAAAGCCTAGGCTCTTTTTTTACCCCTCAGTTTTGTGAACTGCCATTTGCTTAGATTTACCATAGTTCTTGGCCTCTCTCTAGTACACAGAACTCCGATAAGGCATGATTAAGAACACAAATGTCCAGAGCTTTGGCCACAGTCCTTTGCATAGAATGTAAGCTTAATAAATCCTCATTGCTAAACTGACACTGATTATTGCCCTGTTTTCATTCCTTCATGCACATAACTTTGTTAAATTTGTAGATGTGCTGGTGATGACTTGTGTGTCCTGTGTTGCCTTTGCTAGCAGAGCTGCCCAGTGTTACAGGATAGCAATCTCCCTGTGCTGAATAGAATCTTGTGGGATGCACTAAGTGCTGCCAGTCCAGCGCATCCTGCTTTTCTCAGCCACCTCCACCTGAGTTTAACAATGGATCATATTTACCAAATGCTATTGCATGCATTAGCTCTGTGATCATCAGTGAAATCTTGCAAGTGCATATTCTTATCATCATCCCCTTCTGTAGTTGGAATCTAAGGCATGTGGCTTGCGCAGGGCCATTCAAGCAGCAAGCGGAGAACCCAGCATCCTGGTGCTACACGTGTGGCTGCAATCCTTTAGCAGCCAAGCCAAAGAGCACCCAACAGCAGAACTATGCCTGCAGCCCGCTTCAGCAGGTCTCACCACAGGCATGGCTCTGCCCCAAGCAGGTCTTCCATGTAACAGGCAAGGTTGGCAGTGCTTCCCTGTAAGAGGCAAGGTTGGCAGAGAGCTCTGCCTCTGAAGACCATCTGCCTACCTTTGACTCTCTCCTCTGCCCTTAACTTCCTGCATGATGCTCTGCCAATTCCTCAGCTCTCCTGAGACTCAGTTCTGCATTTATAAAATACAGGAAAGTTGTAAGCATCAGTCAGATCTTCTGTGTACGGAACCTGCAGGGGAATTGCAGTGTACTTGCTTGCTGCAGCTGCCATAACAAAATACCACAGTTGGGGTGAATTAAACAGCAGTGATGTGTTTTCTCAAAGTTCTGGAGACTGGAAGTTCAAGATTAAGGTGTTGGGCTGGGTGTGGTGGCACACACCTATAATCCCAGCACTTGGGAGGCTAAGGCAGGAGGATAGAGGTAAGTTTAAGGCCAGCCTAGGCTACATAAGTGAGTTCAAGGGCAGTCTGGAGTACAGAGTGAGACCCTGTCTTAAAAAATGAAGGTATCTGTAGGTTTGGTTTCTCCTGAGGTCTCTCCTCTTGACTTGCAGACCTTCTTGCTGTGTCCTCATCTTGACCACCTCTCTTCTTATAAAGCTACCAGTCATGTTGGATTAGGGTCTACCTTTATGACCCCTTTTAACCTGATTACTTCTTTAAAGGCCCTATCCAGATACAGTGACCTTTGGAAGTACTGGGGGCTAATGCTTCAGAAGCCCCTGAATTTGGAGGGGACACAGTTCAGCCCATAACCTACAGCTTGTTCTCCTTTCACCCCATGGATTCAGCCATATAATACTGAACTAAAAAGAGACATGAAGCAAGATCTTGATAATATGGGTGGTTCGACCCTCCATTCTATTCAGTGGGAGTGGATCCGGGAGAGGGGGTGGAAATAAGAGATGAAAATCTGTTCCACTCCACCAGCGTCAGTTCCTCTATTTGTAAACACTGAGCTAAATGTGATTCCCATGTTCAAATATACACGTTTCACATGCCATGGTCTCTGTAAACTCCAGCCAGCTACTTCATCTGGTGTTCAACCAAAGCAGCCAGGACCAAGGGTCATTTCGGCTCTCTGTGGCTTTTGCTTTGGCCTTCTTTCGAATTGCATGAGATGGTGCTCGTGCCCTGATCTATCTGAGTTGATTTCCAGCTGCACACAGGTCCCTGAAGGCCAACCATGCCTGCTTCCCAGCAGGGAAATAGTTAATGCCCTGACAGGGAGGTGCTGGCCATTGATAGTCAAACGCCCTGCCTGCGGAAGACCCCTTCTGAGACACTGCCTGCATGATCTTTCAAAACGCACTTGGCATTTTCAACCCCAGCAGACGCAGAGCAATAGCTTGCTCATAATTCAACTCTTCTTCCCTTTTCACTTCTTCCACTTCCTTACTTGTACTTCCTAGGACCACCTGTCAAATTTACTACCTGTACCCAAGTCTGTAGCTCAAGGGACAGCTGTCGAAAGAATCCAAAATTGGATAAGAATGCACCAGGAGCAGTGGCACACTGTAGTCGCAGTTGCTCAGGAGGCTGAGGCAAAAGGATTGCATGAGCCCAAAAGTTTGAGGCCAGCTTGGGCAGTTTAGTAAGACCTATCTTTGAAAAAATAGAATCGTACAGGAACCTGTGACCGTGTAAGATGTTCTCATACATAGTAATGCCTCCCAAAATAGTCCACTGTGACCTTGTGGGAGACTCTGCAGAGCACAGAGGCACAGCTTCTAGTGCTTCTGTTGCATTGGAGTTCTCCCAGACCTTTGTGATCTGCTGGTCCTGGCACCAGTCCTGCTAAGTATTTTCCTCTGTCCCCCTCCCAGGTGATTGAGAAGAACTTGAGTGGCTGGTGGTACATTCAGATTGACGATAAGGAAGGGTGGGCTCCAGCAACCTTCATTGACAAGTACAAAAAGACCAGTAATGCCTCAAGACCCAACTTTCTGGCTCCTCTGCCCCACGAGGTGACCCAGCTCCGGCTCAGAGATGCAGCAACAATGGAGAACACTTCAGGCAGTGAGACCGTGGGTCCCTCCCGGCCCCTGCCCAATGCCCCGCATGGTGCCATGGACTCAGGGATGTCATGGCCCAAAGACTGGAAGGGTGGGAAGGAGGCCCTGAGAAAGGCGTCTTCAGACATGTCTGCCTCAGCGGGCTATGAGGAGATCTCAGACCCTGACCTGGAGGAGAAGCCCAGCCTCCCTCCACGGAAAGAATCCATCATCAAGTCAGAAGGAGAGCTGCTAGAGAGGGAGCGGCAGAGGATGGAGCAGCTCCGGGGCTCTTCAGCCAAGCCTCCTGGCATGATTTTGCCAATGATTCCAACCAAACATGCACCAACAGTCCGGGACAACAGGAGGCCCGAGCCCAAACCTGACAAAAGCAAATTGTTCCAACTCAAAAACGACATGGGGCTGGAATGCGGCCACAAAGTGTTGGCCAAGGAAGTAAAGAAGCCCAATCTCCGGCCCATCTCCAAATCCAAAACTGAGCCACCGGAGGACAAGCCAGAAGCTGTTCCCCAGAATCCATTCTTGAAGTCGAAACCTCATGTTAGGCCCAAACCAGCTCCATCTCCCCGGACAGAGCCACCTCAGGGGGAAGACCAAGTGGACATCTGTCACCTCAGGAGTAAGCTCAGGCCTGCCAAGTCCCAAGAGAAATCTTTGTTGGATGCGGACAGCCACCAGGCTGTTGGGGGCCAAGACACAGCCTTCAGCCGAAGTTTCCTCCCAGGGGAGGGACCTGGCCGTGCCCAGGACAGGTCTGCCAGACAGGACGGGCTCAGCCCAAAGGAGACGTCCTGCAGACCCCCTCCAAGGCCAGCCAAGGCCATGGAGGCTGGACCTAAAAATATGCCCGTCCCTCTCCAAGACTCCACCCAGCAGAGACCCGTGGTCCCACCCCGAAGACCACCACCCCCTAAGAAAGCGTCATCATCCTCCAAGCCCCTCCCAGAGCTCAGAGGTCCACCATATGAAGCCAGCGAAAGCAGGGTGGTTCCTGCCGCAGGCCGTGCCCTGCTCGTCCCTCCCAAAGCCAAACCCTTTCTCTCCAACTCTTCTGGGGGCCAAGATGACATGCGAGGCAAAGGCGGGCTAGGGCCGTGGGTAGCTGGCAAGATGGGAGAAAACAAGGAGAAAGCGGCCGCAGCCTCCTTCCCCAGTGCTGATGGCCCAAAGGACTCTTTGTATGTGGCTGTAGCCAATTTTGAAGGAGATGAAGATACCAGCAGCTTCCAGGAAGGGACAGTATTTGAAGTCCGGGAAAAGAACAGCAGTGGCTGGTGGTTCTGCCAGGTCCTTAGCGGTGCCCCTTCCTGGGAAGGCTGGATTCCTTCCAACTATCTCAGGAAGAAGCCATAGCCTCCTGCCTTCCTGCCAGGAAGTCCTGCGGATCCCTGCTGGCTTTCCCCGTGTATTTAATATGTATCCTAATTTATCAGTCTCCATGCAGTTTCAAAGAAGGAAGCTACTGGAGTGCTTCTTTCTTCCCTCCCTGGGTAGAGAGTGAGTGGCTGAGATGTCAGCAGCTCAGGTTGGGGCCTCCCATCGCAGCATTCCTGGAGCTCCGAAACCACAGCCCTTGCCGGATAGAAATCCACCTCAGCATCCCTGCCTTAAGAGAACTCCTTCCTGGTCAGGGCCATTGCCACCCAGCAGCGACACTTCCAGGCCTCCAGATTTAGACCTGTCTCCTGGAGAAATTCCAGACAGGGTCTCTCATTGCTTGGACAAGGCATGATAAGCAGCAGCCCTGCCAGTTCACAACAACTTGCTCTAACTCGTTCATATATCCAAAAGCCAGTGGCTATTTTCGCTGTGTTCAGAATGCCTGGTTTGAGGAAGAACAGTGTCCTGTAGAAGTCAGCTCTGTTGCCAGCCCCCAGGAAAGTGTCCTCTTCCCCAGGGCCTTGGGTCCTCCAGCCTCTGAAGCTCAACTGAGTGCAGCTCCCCCGGGAGTGGGGCTGGTGGAAGTCCGCTTGGCCATCCGGCCTGCCATCTTCTGCCCTGGGACTCTGACTGCTCCGAAGGGGTAGCTCCAGCCCCAGGCATACTACATTTCCCTGATGCAGGGGCCAATCCCTGCAAGGTTTCTAAATGAGAATTCCTACTCCCACTGGGGACATTTCCTTCTTGTCTACCTAGAACAAAAGTCTCCAAGTCTGTCTGGCCTTTCACAAGGCGCACCCCTTGGCTGAGTAGTTAGTAGATGCCAAACCGCATACTTGGCAGTTTGCATTTGTGTTTTAACCCTCATGACCACCCTCCCCTTTGATATTGTACCCATTTATCAGTGAGGAAACTCGGCTCCATGCCCCTAAGGACACACTAGCTGGGAAGAGGAGGAGAGAGGATCTGAATGCCTGTGCTCTTCCCCCTGTAAGAGGCAAACTCTCAGGGAAGTGTTGGAAGCTGGCTGGGTACCAGGAGCAGATGGCCATGTAGCTTCCCTGGGTGGACAAGGGGGCACTTGTGGCTGCTCCCACACCACCTTCCCTCTCAACCCCTGTGGCATATATTCAGGTCTGCCTTGGACCCACAACAACTGCTTCTCCAGGGCAGGGAAGCCCCAGGATCCTGGTAGTTGGCCCAGAGCCCTGTTCCCTGTCCGCATGCTGATGTCCCCTAGGAGACAGTGCAAAGCTGTGTTGTCCCCTAGGCGATAGTGCAAAGCTCTGTTGTTAAAGGACCAGCAATTGGGTCTCTACCAAACAAAATATAGCAAGCGGTATGCCAGTAAGGAGACAGGCGCCCAAAGGAGCCAAGCAGACTCCTCCGTACCTGCCTGCTGTGGCCCCCTCCTCCTTTCTGGCATATCTACGGTAGTTGATATGTGCACTCTCCCTGGGAGAAACCTAGGGCAGCCCTTGTACCCTTTCGGCAGATAACGGTTAAGTGAAATCTAAAGAGCTAGAATCGGGACCTGAGGTTCTAGCTTGCAGCCCAAAGCTCGTACCTGTGAATTAGCTGCCAGGAGATGAGATTAGAAGCCCTTCATCCACTGACCCTGCAGAAGAGGAGGGAACCCGATCCCACTCTGTCCTGCCTGCCTCAGGGATCTCCCATTCACAGCGTTCATCTGCTACGATGCATTTGACACCACAAAGCCAGCTTGCCTGGGGTTGTTTGCATCTACCTGCAGTGCCAAAGACTTTGTGCAAAAAGCCCTCTTGTGCACACACTGCCCCTAGTCCCTACCATATGCCACACAGACTCTGGCTGCTTGCACAGAAGGAGGTTTCTCTGGTGCAACTGTAGCATCTTTAGTACCTTCCTTCTTTGCTCAGCCTGTAAGATCTATACCCCAGGGAGTTTGGGACAAGCCTGAGGTGCTTCTTGCAAGATACCTTGCCCCTTGACCCATACCCAGGACCTTGGAGAAAGGTGGCATTGAGGAGAAGGAAACTGGGAGAAGGGGACCCACCTCTTCAAGGTCCCCCTACTTGGAAGGAGGCCCCATTGCATGGTTTTCCTGAATTTTTGACCCACTTTTGCTTAAATATCCTTTGTGAAGCTGTTTTGCAGGGTTTGATTAACTTTTAAGGGACAAAACTACTTGGGTATTATGTGTCTATGATTTGATTTTGGCTTTCAGTGACTTTTTAAGTATTGTGTGCACACCTACTATATATGGTGGCGCTGGGTAGACCAGAGTGTGATGGCTCCATCCCTGGTGTCACGAGCTGTGAGTTGTATCTGCCAACACTGCTGAAGACGTGTCTTTTGCCTTGCCTCCTTCCACCAGGTCAGCCTGCTCTGACTTCCTGTGGACAGACATTTCTCTGCAAATGGAAAAAGAATTTGGTTTTTTCACTGCTATTATTATGCTAATGTGAACTATAGATACGCATTCCTCCTGTTCACTGTTCTTTCCTGCACTCACACTGATTACCTTAGGACTAGGCAACTGGAAGTTCTAGGCCTTGATGGCCAGTGACTCTCCTAGCTGTTGTTGCCTAGGAACTTAAGTTTACCACATCCAGAACCATGGTTACTAGTCTAGGAGCGATTGATGGAGCATAAGCAAAACTCTGGAGTTAGGGTCGTGGAAGAGGTCCTGGGCCATTATAATGTCCATACCAAGCACCAGGCAGGTCACTGACACTTAAACATGCTCCCTCCTTAATACTCATGACAACCTTGTGGGATGAGTAGTATTGAACCTGATGTGTAGTAAGAAATTGAGATGCAGTGAGTGAAGTCACATACCCATCTTTATCCAGATAGTGGCCACGCTGGGACTCAAATCCAGTTGGTTTTCTCCCTTGTGTTCATTATTTTCTGCCACTATCAGCAGTGAAATGTGCATAGAGTTTGCAGGGAACGAAGTGAATTTAGGTGTCATCCTCTGCCCCTTGGTCAGACTTTTCAGTAGGTCACAGGCCAAATGCCAACCCAAAGAGTGGGCAGAGGTGGAAGTGGCTTTTTCTGTGCTCACCCCTGCTCACTACCTTGTGATGACTACTTTATCTTACATCTGCAGAAAATGTACAGCATCTTGTACAGCCACCAGATATTTAGGACCTCTGAATGTCAGGACCAGCACTTGACAAAGTAGGCCTTTGCTCAGATTTTTTGCTTAGACTCATTCCTTGCCATTTGGTAGGTGTATGTCGACTCAGGATGAGACTCGGGGAGAGCTGAGCTCCACATTAAAGCACTTCGAATGTCCCTACTCTCATAGGAAATTCCAGAGCTCATGCCTGACGTTGAATAGTCTTTTTAAGCCTCTGCCACAAGCCTGCCCCACAGAATTGATTTCTAGGACAAAGTTCTTGGCCTTAAACAATTTTCTGGGTCCACTGGGAATTTCAGTACCAGGTGAAAAGTGGGAAAGCTCACATGTCACATTAAAGGGAGGTGCCGAATCTCCCCAGGACTTTGGAAGATCCTTGGACTGAATGAATAGTCTAGTATTTATGACCACATATCCAGTACTGAAGAACAAAGCAGAAATGAACTCCTGCCTTCAAATAGCTGGCAACTTGACATCACCAAGACCAGGCTGAGAGTGTTGCTCAGTGGTAGAGTGTTTGCCTAGTTGAAGCCCTGAGTTGGATCCCCAGAACTAAAAACAAACACTCATGGCTTGGTTCCCTTTCCTTTCATTGTGCCAAGTCTCTTGAGTGTCAGGGTAGGCTGCCCTCTGGGAGGCCTTGCCCCTCTCTTTGGACTATGACAGTGGACACCTACCAACCTGAACTTTGTGTGGCGGTGTTGGTCCCCAAGCTAGTTGTCCACGCCCATCCTTCAGTGCTTTTGTGTGTACTGTGGACAGCCATACCATGCAGAAACCAAAGAATACCTAGTGTCAGAGGACTCTGTGGTCTTGGTGAATGGGAATTTGCCTGGCATTGAGGCTTGCCCCTGCCTTGGACTATCTTGGAGGAATTGCTCCTCACTTGGGTGAGGAGTTGGACTGACAGCCAGTGAGAGTCCCAAGCAGAGGTGCAGAGTTAAAAATGGGGGAAGGATATGGCTTCCCTACTCCTTACGTGCTGATCCACCTTCTGAGCATCCTTTCCACAGACCAACATCCAGCCTAACAGGTTGACGTCTGGTCTGGTGCTATCTTGCTGAGGGATCAGGCTCCTCATCATGTTTCAGCATTCCATCTTCCTCTTCCTGTCTGTTCTCTATTCCAAAGGAAACCAGAGATAAGAAGCTCAACCTCTTTTGTCCTTGAAAAGACCAGACACAGTGCCATAGCCAGTGGCCTTCGCTTTCACATCTCCAATACATTAAAACAGAAGGTGCTCCCAGCAGGCTTACCACAGCAGTAGTAGCAATACTAAGCAATTCTAATGCAACGAAAGTGTCCAGAGTTTATCCCGTGTACACCTGTTTATGCCTTTGTGTCCTGTGATTATTGGCAGCAACTCTCTCCACTTGGAGGAGTGGTACTAACTCCATGATGATGATAACACCTTAGCTGAAGGCCACATGTTCTGCTTCAGGAAGCTGCCAAGTCACTCGGCCATCGCTTCCATTCCTTCAGGAACAGTGGGCTGTGGACAGCATTGTCACACCAGCTCGTGTCTGCTTATAGGATGACGCTGGGGATCTCTGGATATCTCAGCACTTCTCACACTCTCTTGGAAAAATGACAGATTCTGGTGGTGCCTTTTGATTCCTTTTAACACAGAACATGAGTATAAATGTGAGGGGGGGGTGAACAACTAACTGTAGCATGTAGAAAATATATACTTTACCATTAGACTTTTTCCTTTTTTTTTTTTTTTTAATAAAAACAGTGCTTGACTGGTTTCAAGCTTCATTGTGAAAATAGAGTGTCTGTGGATTTTATTTGACTGAAGAAAGGATGCATAGCTTCATGCCAGGGCATCTTGGCAGGAGGTCTTTGGGATCAAAGAGAAGAAACCCATGTAAGCTATGTTTGAGTGTTGCCCAAGAATAGGCTTACTTTTCTCTGGGCCCTAGGACACCTTCATTCTTTGAACTACAGTGTCCAGAAAGCTTTTATTTTCTGGTTATCTCTCACCATAGTTTCAGCCCTCTGCCTAAAACAGGAGAAACTTCACATGTTCAAAGAATCTTGAAAGTCTGCACAGTGTTGCCTGCTTATGGGCAAGAATATGTGTTGGAGGGGAGCTAGGACTGCCCAAGCCATCTGCTTCTGGGATATAGAGGGCTGTGTTAGCTTTCTGTCCCTAACAAATACCTGACATAAACAACTTAAAATGAGGAAAGAGTTGCTTTGACTTATGGTTTCAGAGGTTTCAGTTCAGGGTCAGCTGGCTGTACTGCTTTGAAGCCTGTGGTGAGGCAGAAACATGGTGGGAGGGTGTGGAGAGGAAAATGACTCACTTCATGGCAGCCACAAAGCAGAAAGGGGCAAGGGGCAAGAACAAGATGCAGTCCTCGATGGCATAGCCCAACTAGCTCCCACCTAAATTCCCAGCATCCCCAAGTAGCCCATCAGATTTGAACTCATCTATGTAGTGATGCATTTAGAGCACTTATGGTCCAGTCGTCTCTCAGAGTCCCATCTGTGAACACTGCTGCATTGGGGAGCAAGCCCTTAACATACAAGGTTTTGGAAGACATTTCAGATTCAGGTTGAAAGGAGGGTGTAGCCTGATGTCTATTACTTTCTCAAGGGCAAAATCAACCCCCACAGGGAGCTTCCTGCCCTCAGGTGAATCTTTAAACAAAATGACACCATCCCACGTTCTAAAGGAGAAAAGAAAACAGCAGACTCCTTAAACAAGAGCTTTAAAGGGCAGCTTTACATACAATATTTCTTGTCTTAGAGAAAAACAATTTCTTGTCTTAGGGGTTAACACAATGGCCTTGCTGACAGTCTGTTGTTTTTTTTTTTTTAATTAAGTTTATTGGTACAATTTAGATATACATAATGATCATCACATTCATCAGGGAGTTTGTACTGGTACATGCTATATCTTAGTTCCTCTTTTTCTTCCTCATTCCCCTTCCCTCTTTTCAACCCCTCTTGCGCTCCTTATTGACAAAGCTTTGTTTCCATTTTATCCTCTTTTTTTTTCAGTTTTTTTCTTTTCCCTTCCATTCCCCCCTCAGTTCCCCTTTCCTTTTGAACAACTGCTTCCTCTTTTGCAATACATGTTAAACATTTTGGTTCTTACTTATACTTTCAGTTTCTCACACCAGAGAGACAATGTGGTATTTGCACATATGTGTCTGATTTACTTAAGAATAATGATAACAAATATATTATTAATCTCTTATAAGAAGAAAGAAACAATCATGTGGTTCAGGTCCCCCCCAGTTCTCAATTGTAAGAATAAGACTGGCAATGGTGTGGGGTCCCTGGTGTGGAGGTTCACCTAACCTCATGGGGTGGGATGGGAACTGAGCTGAAGTCAGGAGCCAAACTTCCCACCTTCATCTCCTGAAGCTACATGCTGGACCCCATGACCTTGCTTTAAGTGTCACCTGGCACTGTCACACTCACTATTCCCAGGAAAGCCACATCTAATGACCCGCCGTCTCACCATTATGCACCCCTACCAACTCTCCCCTTGCAAAGGCATCATGGTGACCTTTTGAGCCCAAGATTCATACCATGAGGCCACTCTTCTCAGAGCCCAGGGTATGTAAAGTTCATTCCTTCTCTTCTGTAATTTGGTTCCAAGTGATTCCTTAATATCTTGTAACCTGTACTTCCTAATCAGTGGTAGTGACCACAATTTTCCAGGGAGCTTATCAAAATGTAGATTCCAGGCTTCACCCCGTGAAAATACCAGCAGGAGTCGGCATCCATACAGAGCACATTCAGAGGACGTCTGCGTGCTGCATTTGGATTCAAGGCTAGATTCAACATCTTACCTGGTATAGTCTAAGTGTACAAAAATGGTGTTGTTATTGTCAATGTCTACTTATTGAAGCATTTATTCTGTCCCAGTCCTGTGATGCACTTAACATATGCTGTTTGATTTTACCTTTTAAATTCCCTGTGAGGTAGATTGCTGCCTTTCCCCCAAAGATTCGTGTGCTGGAGGTTTGGTCCCTAATGTGCTAATAGTAAAGAAGTGGTGGGAACTTTAAGAGGTGGGGCCTAATGAAAGATCTTTAGGTTATTGGGGGCACTGCCCTCAGAAGAGATTCAAGCCAGGGGTTTAGCTCAGCGGCACAGCACCTGCCCGGCAAGCATGAAGTCGTGAGTTTGATTCCCGGTACCCAAAAACAAAACAAAACAAAGAAGAGATTCAAGTACTAGGGGATTCGGGTAGTGGCAGAGATTCGGGTACTTCTCTTGGGACCCTGAGTTCTGGAGAGAGTAAGGCATTCTAAAAGATTAAAAATTGTATTAAAAAAAAATACTTCCTCATTCCAAAACCTAACTGT